GATTAATTTTATAATTTGTTTCAAATGTGTTTAGCAATAGAGGATGATGGATGTTTGTTATTTAATTTTATCAGATCGTTTGATTTAATTTAAGTGCATGTTCAAACAACTTTACTTGCAGATCATGATTGTTCCTCCCTATGTTTATGTGGTCACACATACAGTTGAATTGGTAAGGGCAGTGGTATGTGACGCAATCGTTCACATCACGTTTAGGTTTTCAATGAAGCATGGACGTTATTTTCTCTTTGATAATGACCTTCTTTAACACAAAGTTCGTTTTGTTGACAAGTGATTTGAGCCTTTGTTTCAACACAAGGGTATTTGACTCATTTTTCAATAGTAGGTTGATGTAGTTAAGCTATTTTGGTACTGAAGTTGTAGTAGGTCTCAACATATTATGGCTTTTCCATCGATTTGTCAATTTTATAGGATAACTCACTCCCCATCAATGTTTTGTTCAGTGACCTCACTTCGTCATCAGTATTATCGTCTGTACAATTACTATCGATTCTATTAATTAGGCTCTTTATCAAGCTTGGAAATGACTGTAATAACTAAGATACTAGCTTGTTCATGTCGGTTTTCTAAAGAGAGATCATTTGATTGAATCATCGTCTTTTCTACTTATAAGTATGTCTAAACTAGGAAGCTGGTTGTGTTTTTTTTTTGTTCACATGAAAGACTGACATCGTTTTGTTTCTTCTTATCTTTCATTTATCTAGTTGACCTTTTACTTTCTTTTAGATAACTGTTCTCAATGAGTATATGTGTGATCAGATTGTTCGAAATGTATTAAGCTAATTTATCTCTCATAGTTTAAATAATCTTCGTCTTCTTGTTACTCTATTTGAAGTCCACATTTTAGTTTCATATAAAGCCTATCAACACATAATTTACCATTGTGTTCATTGACAGTCGATAGTTCATTTATATAAATATTCTTATTAGAATAAAGAATGATAAGTAGTCATAATTCTGTAAATTCTACAGCAGTGACACCTAGTTACTGAAACTGAAAGGATATAAAAAAGAATATTGAGAATTTCTAGCTGTCATACATATGTGATATGGAAGAAGATAGATATAAAGTTGTGAGTAAATAGTGCGAATCGACTCAATGAAGTAATGAATGTGCACAGTTGTAAGTATGCATTGAATTAGGTTTCATGTATGTGAAGTTCTCGTCCCTGTAATCTTGCATGGAATGCGAAATGAATGTTAACGATTGCGAGTTATGTAGGAAAGTTGTAACCATTCCTAATGGAGTTGGTAATATAATAATGTAATGAACGAAGACTAAGGTTGGGATATAATCAATTTATTATTTAACGTACAATCACACAGTAGTTTAGCATAATGTAAAAATCATGCATAGGCCTATGCTCCATTTGGAGTAACAGGCGTAAGTAAGTAAGAAAATCATGCATTATATATTTTATTTTTATATCTTTAAATTGTCTCTTACAAGCTTCATTCCCATTGTTATCTTGATTGCTTTTAGTTCTCTTCTATCTTCCCTGCATTTCGATCTTCTCAACCTTCTGCTCACAGACATTCCTCTTCCGATTGATGTTTCATACTGCTTATATCTGCAAAGATATGTAGCATGCACTACGAAAGTTTTTTGCTGTTGTTAACATAGTAAATTAATCACAACAACTCAGAACATTCTACAACTTGTCATTTAATTTATTATCAGAAGGGGTTTTGTGGATATTTTAGTAATTTTGATAGCTGAGATCATGAATCAATTGAAGCTAGACCACCATGGAAAACTTCAAAACACTGAACGACCGTTTCGTCCTATTATAGATCGGTTGAAGTTAGACATTGACACCGTTGGATGCCGGCTCAGTAATCTAGTGGTTAAGTGCTCGCGCGCGAAACTGATGGGTTCTGGGTTCGAATCTCACGGGGCGAGACCTTGAATGCGCACCGCTGAGGATTCCCGCAATTGGATGAAACGACCGTCCAGTGCTTCCAGGTTTTCCATCGTGGTCTAGCTTCAATTGACTAATGATTTCAATTATCGGAATATTGAAATCTTCACAAAACCCCTTCTGAACTTGTTTTTATGTCTAATACATCTAATTCCTTTTTATCTATCAGTTTCATTAATGCTCTACAAAAATTTCCTACTCGGATCATTCCATTTCATTTCTTTTTTACAATTTTACATTCCTTAATTGTTTATTTTTTGTTTTTCAACTCTGGCGACATATTCATCAGAATGTTGTTCCCCCTCTCTGCTAAACATTAACTCTAAAATCGTATTAATCCAGTGCTCTTTTTTTTGTTGTTACATAATTGTTTCTATCGAATTATAAATGACCTATTTAGATTGTAAATTGGACATGTTAAATTTAACTTTCATTGTCTATGGAAATGTTTTATCTCTATCCATGATTTGTTAATGTATCTTTTAATTAGACTAATTCTTTTTCCTTTTTTTTTGGTGGACATGGGACCAGTCCATGAAATTAATAATTACTACTGTCAGATGTAGATTTCTTGGTTTAAGTCTTTGTACTAATCGTCATAATTTGTGTGGTTTTCAAGTTGAGAATTGATATGGCGCCAACTTCCATTTTCTATCTTTCTGTAAATATTATATTATCATATTATTTCCTAACTTTTCCTTCTTTAACCACATTCAATTCGTTTCCTAATTGCTTTAAAATTTCTCTAAATTTTCTGATGTCAGGTGTGTGTGTGTGTATAGCAACTTGAACCTATCCATATTCCTATCGAATTCCACGTTGATAATGACTCATTTACCTATATAATTTGTTGCTTGTTATCTGTTGTCTGAACGAGCTGGCTTGAAAACGCAAGAGTTTGGTTGGTTACTTTGTGTGTAGGCTTTACTGTGTCATGTTTCTACAGTTATTTCTCTTTGTCTCCATAAGAGTTACGATGGTCACTCAATTATCTTCAACGCTGTGATAATCATTTATCTTGTATGTGTTTATAGTGTTTTTTTTTCATGAATATCTGATCTAGTGTTAGTACATAAATGACAATTAAATTTCCAAAAAAAAATTGATAATTATGGCTATTCGAACGACTATTTCTTGTCTTACGTTTTGTCATGTATTTAGTAAATACCACTTATTGATACAGGGTTTGTGGAGATTGTTAAGTTTCGTTAAGATCCTGAACCGATCAATTACAGACGACCATTGAAAACCTGAAAGCACTGGACAGTCGTTTCGTTCCAGTACACTTTTCAGAAGTTTCGTACTGGGACGTAACGGACGTCCAGTTCTTCTAAGTTTTCACTGACGGTCTCACATTGATCAGTTCAGTATCTCAATGAAATTTCACTTAGAAATTAGGTTTCTCTCTATATATATATATATTTAGTGACTAGACATTCTGATTGTCTTAAACACAAAATGCTTATTTTTTCGAAGGTTTTTCTAAACATATTTGGTGCCTTATAAATTAAAAACTAAACAAATCTTTGTTTTTGTAATGGTTTCATGACGCTTGATTTTCTTTTAACGAAAGTCTTTGTATATTTTATAGTTACAAACCATATAAAGTAACAGTTCTATAGGAAGTTACCTAATTCAAGATCTAATGTCATGTATGGTTTTTTTGTATTTCCTAAGTTTTGAATGATTACAAGGTCGTAAATAGTTAACCATAGCTTCGGCGAATAAGTAATTTGTCTTAGGTTTTAATAAGGTGTCAGCTCACCACGGAAAAAAAGACAGTTTAACCACAGAAATAATGTCCTTTCATGTTATATCGATTGCGTGAGCATGCCTTGTTAATATATGACGTTATAAGACTGCCTATCAGGGAGCAGTGAATTTATTGATCGCCCAATGATACACAATATCCGTATTGAGTAACAGTCTTGAGTACTTAGCAGTCCTGCTTTCTGCCTAGTCCAGACAGTTAAGTCCAGAACATCAATAACAGCCTCTGCAATATGAATCATTATTCTTAAACATACTGGGTTTATATACCAAACAAACAGATCACATCGTACGAATAAAATAGAAAATAATATTTGTACAAGATTTGACCAAATGTGGCTGTGAATAGGGGGAACAGTATTTAATGGACTAGGGATAACTCAGGAATGGTAAATCATATAATAATAGTCTACGGGTTAAAATAAAGCTTATAATACGAGGGACACGAATATGAATAGTTTAGTTACTTAACAATCATAAAATAGGAAATATACATATCATATTAGTCCATAAACAATCCTCAAAGTTACCATTCATAATTCTCCACGGGACATAACGTTTCACTAACAGCCCCACAAGCTTCCATTGAAGACAGTAAGGTATGAAAATTATAGAGGTAACACAACGAAAACTCACCCCTCAAGAGTCTTTGTGTTCTTGGTTCGAAGAAATAACGTTTCATAGTGTATACACCAAGAGGATGTTTACTTACCAACCACTTTTAACCACTCCCATACGTACTGTGCTACGCGAAAATGAACTTTCCAGTTTCAGTTCTGATCATCTTTGTGATATCATTCAATCTCTAAATCAGCAAGAATCATCTTCAAGTTGTTCTATGAGAAATTACCATAAAACCACCCCCAATGAATTAGTTTTAATAAAAATAGACTCAAATGACGTTAATTTCTTTTTTTTTCGAAGTTACATTACGAATGTTTTACATAGGTATCTACAAAACTACAAGTGGTTTCACATGGTTTCTTCTATACAAACCCACTTAGATACATGCCTATACAAATGATTCACATTTCGTTATTTCGGTTTGTTTATCATTGTATAAATTCACTTGGTTTCTATTTTGGTATCGGTGTTAACTTGTTGTTCTGTATTGTAGTTTAATCCATTTAACGTGTAACCTAATAATTGTAGTAATAATAATCTAAGATCAGCGATTCATTGTTGTTTGTTTAACAAAAAAAAATAGTGTAAATTAGTTTTTATTGAGGTGTACGAATTAATAATCTTTTTCCCCTTTTATTATATCTGTTTCTCTCTCTCTATCAGGTCTCGTTATCCGAGTATGGATCAGTTGGCTGATATGATCACATCGATCCTTGTTCATTTTGGGCAAGTTTTTATATATTTTTTTATTTCTTCATGTTCTTTTTTTTAAACTTTTTATTGGAGCTTTTTCAATGTTGATTGTTATTAATATAAGGAGATTTATGGAGATAATAGTATTTTAACCATTTAAATCACAAATTGAATCCTTAGTAGGTCGCCATTGAAAACCTGGAAGCATTGGATAGTCGTTTCGTTTTAGTACGAAAGTCTTCAACAAGCGGGTATCTAACCCAGGATCTTCAATTTTGTAGGTGAACACTTAACCTCTGGGCAACTGAGTCAACGTCCAGCAATATTAACATCTTTTACATAGGATGTATATTTACAATATTCAGTCTAGTAAATTTATTTACATCCTTGCTACACAGATATGTCTTCAACATAACTTCAGACTAAACACTTTCTGCCATGTTGGCAGATGCAGACTACCTGGTGGGGGTCCGCATGACTATCGTAACCAATGGTTGGAGACTGTGTGTGACATGGCTCATAATCGACCACATTGACGTAGGTGTATACACTCTTTATCTTCACTTAAACCTTGACATTAAAATTGCTTCATATCTGTTTTTCTTCCTGTGTATCCTTATATACAACCTTTCTTTTATATATTACCACCACTAAATTAACTACTTCTATGAATTCGGTGTTCATCTTGTTGTGCTAACGAGGTATGGCAACTTGAACCGATGCATAGATGTGCCTGGTCCTACGTTGTAGCTGGCTGAATGGCTGAAGTAATTGAGACCCATTTTGTAATTATGATTGTAAATATCACAGGTTGTAAGCAACTGACGAGAACCATTGACATAAAATGAATTCATTTTATTCTTTTAGAATCATTGTTCTTACTCTTTTCAAAATGATAGTGTTTCAGTTAAAGTTATTTCAACTTTAATCCAATTCAATGACCAAGTCATAAGAAGTTTTTCTATACTCGTCCTTAAAGTTTACTATTTTGGTTACTTAAGTATGCCTGTTACCTTTCATCAGGTATATTACTCAGACCAGAATTCTCCAACCGACTTTAGCCTTGACTGTCTCCTCCAGTTGTTTACATGCCCTATTCATTCTTTTCATATCTTCCTCCACTTCCTGGTGTAAAATGTTCTTTGGTCGACTTCTTTTCCTATAAACGTAAAGATTTTAAGTTTGAGCTTGGTTTGTGATTCAGTTTGATGATTTTCTTAATGTATACCCTATCCTACCTCCAACATCTTTTCCTGATTTCGTCTTCAACTGAAAGTTGATTCGTTCTCTGACACAGTACATTATTGCTAATAGTATCCATCCAATGGATCTAGAGTATCTTACTTCAATTATTTTAAATATATTTGTACTGATTTTTGTATAAGTTTAGTATATAGCGTATATAGCCTCTGTCAGGGAAGTCCACTCTCCCCATTCTTGTTTAACTTTGTCGTTGACATGCTTTTAGAGATAGCACTTTCATCAGCTAAACCTCCAGGAGTTGAACTTTTACCAGGAGGTTCACTTGTTGACTTAGAATACGCCGACGACATAGTTTTATTCGGTGAAGACTCTGACAAAATGCAGAGTCTTCTGACCACCATAAGCAACAATGCAGGCATGTTCGGGATGCAATTCTCTCCTTCGAAGTGCAAAATGTTACTTCAGGATTGGGTTGCATCGACACCTGAACTAATGATAGGGAGTGAAGTAGTTGAGCGTGTTGACTGCTTCACTTATCTTGGAAGTCTCATCAGCCCTTGTGGTCTGGTGTGTGACGAAATCTCATCACGGATACAGAAGGCTCGTCTAGCTTTCGCCAACTTGCGTCATCTATGGCGTAGGCGAGATATCCATCTAGCAACAAAAGGACGGGTTTACTGTGCAGCAGTCTGTTCCGTCCTACTTCATGGAAGTGAAACATGGCTGATAAGAGTAGAGAATATTCATAGGCTACTAGTGTTCGATCATAGGTGTCTTCGACGCATTGCTCGTATATATCTAGATGAGTTGATTATTATTTAGAAAAAGGTATATATTTTCTTAATAGATAAGTTGTTGTATATAAACTATTACGCTTAGAGTAAAAATTATAATCATGAAGCATTGCTCGTATATCCTGGGACCACCGAGTAAGTAATGTAGTTGTTAGGAAACGGGTACTAGGTAAGGATGTCAAATCAATTGATGGAGTAGTGAAACTTCATCAGTTGAGATGGGTGAGATACGTGTTACGTATGCCCAACCACCGACTGCTCCGACGTGCAATGCTTTATGGTGTAGGAGTAGGTTGGAAGAAAGCTAGGGGCGGCCAGACCGAAACATGGCATAAATCCATGAAGTCACTGACAAGTGGACTGAGCCATGTTGGTAGGTGTGGACCACCTGGTTGGGATTCGCGAAATGATAACAACCGATGGTTATAGACCTTGAATGGCATGGCTCAAAATCGTTTGCAATGGCGAAGATGCTTCCACTCTTTGTGTTCTCCCAAATTGTAAGCTTAATTATTTGTGCTCTTTTTCTCTTTCCAAATTTATTTCACTGCATTATACTCCTTCGATGACATCTTCAAACTCTTATCTTTCACATAATACTTATACTCTTACTACTTCTACCAATATGGGATTTGAATCGACAACTTCATCTCTGTGTTAATATGGTATGGCAACTCGAACTGATGTACGTACGTACAAAGTTCTACGTTGTAACTGACTGCCAGGGAAGTCCTATTCACTACTTTCTCACCCCAGGGGTGTTGTTTACGAAATTGAGAGGATGAAAAACAAATGTCCACCGTTTTAACCGTTTTGGTGGACACGGCAAGTCCACCTAGGGGAGTTGGAAAACCCTCATTCCAAACCAATGGTGCACATGGCCTAGCTCCAGTATCCTGAGTGAACAAATGGCGTATGAGTCAATCGTCGGTTACTGGCTACCATGTGATTGCATCTTTTTACGATGCTCCACTGCCTTGTGGATTAGATCTTTAGATTAAATGCTCCGGGTGTGGTTCCCTAAGAATACCACCTGTTTCAGTTTGGGCATCCGGGCAGTATCACAGCCCTCACACAAATCAAATGAGATTTGTGTGGCGCATATATATCTGGTGCCCCTTTGTACCATAAGTTTACTCATACTATTTTAACATTTGAATATTGTTAAATGGTGATAGAATATAAACCTTTATCATAATATCTCTTCAACATTAATCTTCTTTTATAATACTAGTGAATGATGCCTCTGTATGTTTGTTTATTATTAAAAAACGAATTAGTTTCTCCATTTAAATGTATCTAACCTCTTGTTTAATGGTGTTCTCCATTCTCTTTCTTTCTAATTCATTGATAATTGACGTTTTGTTTAAATTATTTATCACCACCACCATCATCATTGTTGTTGTTGTTTAGTTCCCTTTCTTGTTTTTTTTCTTTTCTTTTCAAATATAGAATAAATTATTTTTTGGGTTTTGGTATGGGAGCTGGGTCAAATATTCTTGCTCGTTATGCAGTAAGTTTATAAAAATGATGATGATGATGATGATTGATAGATTACTGTTAATTTAAACAATAGTTTTGGATATATATCTGTTTCAATGATATTTTCTATAAAAGAGATTGATATATGTATTGAATATGATCTCTGCTAATTGAAATTTACTTATTTTATTCTAACTTATCATATTTTTTTTTGATAGTTCAAGTATTAGTAACTTCAGGATTAATGCAGTTGTTAGAAAACGGGTACTAGGTAAGGATGGCAAATTGATTGATGAATTAATGAAAGTTCATCAGTTGAGATGGCTGGGATACATGTTACATATACCCAACCACCGACTGCCCCGACGTGCAATGCTTTATGGTGTAGGAGTAGGTTGGAAGAAAGCTAAGGGTGGCTAGACCAAAACTTGGCATAAATCCATGAAGTCGCTGACAAGTGGATTGAGCCATGTTGGTAGGTGTAGACTACTGTTTGGGATCCGCGAGATGATAACAACCAATGATTAGAGATCTTGAATAATATGTCTCAAAATCGTTTGCAATGGCGAAGGTGCATCCACTCTTTGTGTTCTACCCTATTCTAATCTTCTGAATTCTTCATGTCTCTATCTTATTTCTATTTCCAAATTTATTTCACTGGATTATACTTCTTGAAAAACATCTTCAAACCTTAATCTTTCCGATTACTGCTTATACTCTTACTACTTTACCACTATGGGATTTGAATCGACAACTGCATCTCTGTGTTAATGTGGTATGGCAATTCGAACTGATGTACGTACGTACGAAGTTCTATGTTGTGACTGACTGACTGATAAACATTCATGACTGCTGTAACAATATAACAGATGTAGACAGAAATGTTGTTGGTTTTATGTAAATTATGTTATCTACAGAATTTGATTTTTTTTTAAATCGGAAGGGGTTTTGTGGAGATTTCAGTATTTTCATATTTGAAATCCTGAGTCAATTGAAGCTAGACCACCATGAAAAACCTGGGTTCGAATCTTGCTAGTGCCTGATCGTGGATGCGCACTGCCACTGAGGAGTCCCATAATAGGACAACTCGAACTGATGTACGTACGTACGAAGTTTCACGTTGTGACTGACTGACTGACTGAACTTCAGGATTATATTTAAACGATGATGCGTTACAAAGAATATGATATATATATTTTAACTGATGGAATTTGGCAAAGATTGGTTCAATTTATAGATTGTACTGGTTACAGAATAATTATAGTTATGGTATCGTTGAAGACTAATAAATACTGGACAGTTGTTTTATCCTAATTTGGGACTTCGTGGTAATACACAGCCACGATATCTTAAGGATTCGATTTCAACTGCTTAGAGTTTCGAAACGAACGCTTAACTACTAGAATTATTGGATTATCAGCTAACAGTCCAAGTAATAATACTATGATCAATTTGCTATATGGTGCAACATTCATCAAATGTTATCGGTGGCAACTCTTTCACTACTGACACATCGGCATACTACCATTCATCAATTTTTTTATTGTTTTCAATGGTACTACAGCTGAGATCAATCTAGGGAGAGTACTGCCTAAAAAGTATTTACTATCACGGATATCAGTGCATAAAGATAACCAAAAATGTTTAAAATATATATGTTACATCATAATGAGTGAGAAAAAAATGGGTTTTTATAACTTCACATGAGTCATCTCTTCAGTGAATACAATTGATCGATTTAAGTCGGAAGATGAATTATTTAGATTGACACCGCTATCTCTCCAAATAAGACAGAAGGAATTTGTTTTTCAAGATGGCAACTTATCTCTAAAAGTTTTACCTATTTTCATTTAGTATTCGTGACTGTCATTTTTGCATACTTACACTCTTTCATAAAATGTTTATAACCTATCGTGAATATTTAATTACTGAGTCTGTTTGTTGACTAACTACTTACCTTGACTAATGAGACGCATAGTTTAACACAAATAAGTGTGAGAGCTGACAATATAATATTGTATCCTATTAGTTCACTACTTTAAGCACCTTCTATTCCACTGTCTTGAGTTCAAATAAAAGAAGACTTCAGTCATGCTCCTATTGTTATGCTTCAAACACATATACGTTTAGTCGTCTACAAATTTTGAATTAATTGAAGAGTTCCAAGTTCGATTTTTATTTATTTATTTAAACACATAAATATTGGTACAAGAAAGCACTAGATACATATGCGCCACACAAATCTCATTCGATTTTTGTTAGGGCTGTGATACTGACCAGGTGCCCAGACTGAAACAGGTGGTTTTCTTAGGGGGCCACACCCAGAACCTTTGACCTAAAGGTTTGATCCACAAGGCAGTGGAGCAACGTAAGGAGATGCAGTCACATGGTAGCCAGTAACCGACGATTGACTCATACGCCATTTGTTCACTCAGGATACTGGAGCTAGGCCATGTGCACCATTGGTTTGGAATGAGGGTTTTCCAACTCCCCTAGGTGAACTTTCCGTGTCCACCAACCCGGTTAAAGCGCCGGAGATTCGCTTTTCGCCCTCTCACTTTCGTAAACAGCAGTCATGCCACGAGAAGGCAGTGTGTAAGACTTCCCTGGTAGAGGCTGTATACGCGTGGCCATATGAGAGCATTTGGATAGAGAGAGCGGACTCTCCCCACACTCCGCCGTACCTGGGCATTCGCGCGCTCGATTGAACACCACTTCAATCCAGAAAGTATTTAATAAAAAGTCTATTAGTAATCTAACTTCATCACCTTTCATCGATTTTAGTAGTAGTAATAATAAGTAATATAGTAAATAAGAATAAAATATCTATTATTATTTACTATAGTTCCTAATATCTTTCCCAATTAAGGGTTTAAATCAAAATCCCTAATCTTTATGTACAAAGGATATTTGTATTACTGTTATGTATTCTCAGGTTCAAAAATAAACTTTTTTTTATGAAATTTTCTATGTCTATTGATTTATAAACTTTATTTTTCCCCAGTATTCATCCATATCTTTACTATAATAAATAATGCAGTTTAGTTGCCAAGTATATTGCTTCTATGAATGAAGACCAATAATACTATGATAAAGCTATAGTATAGGGATACGCTTGAATGAGTCTCAAAATAAGCAAGCAATTTCATGACAAATTTTTATGCCAGTGAGTTAGTTAGTTAGTTGTACGCGAAGTAGAACCTGATACATATCTTCATTGGTTCAAATTTCCAAACTAAATTAGCACAGCTAATAAGTCAGAGTTGTATAAGTATTAAAAGTACTTACTAATGGTAGTAGTGTAGTGAACGAGAATACGAGTGGGGACAATCGAATGTATTTAGGTACAACATTACAGAATATCTCATTAAAATATGAGAACCCAATTGCGGCCTGTTTAAAGATCTGGGCTACCTGTTCCTGTTGTGGTGTGGTCTACTTATATCCATATAAGTAGTATATGGTGTCGGTCAGACATAGAATGTATTTGGGCAGAAGACCGATGAGCAAAGAACTGAAATGAAGCGCAATCGTTTGGAAAATGCATGAGCAATGAAATTAGAGAAGAAACAGAGAAGATTGAAACAATTGGTTGTTAATTTGCAAATTGACTGTTCATTGTTTGGTTATCAGAATTTACTGAGATAGTCTGTAATTTTTGCTTAAATACATTCGATTGTCCCCAACCAGTGTTCTGTTCACTACACTGTCATCTAGATATTTCAACAAGTTATTTAATTTTGTTTGTTTTAATACATCAATATGGCTATTAATCGCACAACTTATCCAGGTGCGTTTCTGAAAAGTGTAAGATCTTTCTGTGTAAAGGCTACAATAGGCCTAATCAGAAATATCGTGGTTGCTGGCAATATGCAGCGAGAAGAATGTACATTACTCAAATGTCGATTGACTGGGCTGCTAACTTCGAACTGGCGACCACTCAACATTTTCGTCATAATCGATCAAGAAGTAAGAAACGGAAACTTGTTGGAACACAGTGCGCTGAGAATTCTATATTGTACCAAAAATATAATATTGAATGAAGCTAATAATAATAAAATAATAATAACAAATAATTTGCAAACTATCAATCAATTGTCTCAATCTTCACCGTTCCTTCTGTAAATATCAGTCCATGGTCTCTGATTATAGTTGTTCATGCATTTTCGTACCAATTGTGTGCCGTTCTCGTTCCCTCCTTATCGATCTTCTACTGAAATACATTCAGTGCTCGACTATCACCACATACTACATGTTTGGATATCAGTAATCCACACCACAGTACAATTAGTACAAAAACACAAAAGGTTTCAGTGAATTAAAAGAACGAAACATTGTGTATACCCCTAGTGAACAGTAGTAAAAACATAACAGCGATGGATTAATGAAAGAGCAAATGATAATTAAACCAAAAATGGCCAATCTAAGATCAAAGTAAATTTTAGATAGTGGGTATTTATTAAAGGCATTACTGATCAATTCATTCTTATCAAACTGAATTAATACTCCCTCTCAAAACGTCCATCAATTCCTCTGTCAGCAATCATCGCTATTGAATCATGTGCCGGGTAATCGCTTCGATTAATGTCTTCAACAGCATAACCGCTTTACATTCATCAGGTCCATAGTCTATGTGTTTAAACATAGAATTCAGCTGCCGAATCAGTACAACTATTCAGGGTTCTATCTTAATCTTCTGGCTTCGCATAAAGCATCTTGTCAACAATCATCTGCCCTTTTAAAATCACTAACAAAAGTTCTTTTGATGATGTGGGTCTTGACTTCACAATTTTTTTCAACAGTTTATTATTATTCGAAATGAAACTAATGCATTTTGATGGTAAAACGGGCTACAGTCATAGAAAAAGTGTCATCAACCGTCGAAGGTCTGGTTAATTAAACGGTGGAATAGTAGTGTAGTGTATGCTACTGATGTCGACAGACACAATTAGTGTATATTACCAATCGAAAGTGTAATGCCTAGCGGCACAAGGTTGAAAAGATCGAAGAAAAGTGAACGAGGACAGAAAGTGATTGGTGTGGAAACGAAGGAAAAACAAAGTCTGATACAATTGATGGATGTTTTGCAAATGAACTATTTACTGTATGATTCTCAGATTTTACTAAAAGATTCTGTAATTTTGTATTCAAATTCATTTAGTTGTCCCCACTTGTGTTTTCTTTCACTACAGTAGCAGCAGGTTACATTATCCTTATTCATTCTTGTGAGAATTAGAAACTGGTTTTTGACATTATATCTATGTCAGTTACAACCTTTATTAATTTCCCGCTGGTCATCAATGGAATATCACTTAGTGGTCGGGAGTTTGCGTAAAGTACTGAGTTGGGCAACATCAGTAATTGAATTATCATCTAGAATATTATCAGTACTAGGATTCTCAAGTATTCTCTCGGTCTCATATAACTGGAAGAAGTTTATCCGTATACGATTCATAAACTGTATACCATGATGCCACATCAATGTGCACCCAAGTGACACATATAATTTATTATATTTTTTTTTAACTCTCTTCTCATTTATCTCATGCACAATTGATATATTACGTCCAATCAATAAATTTACACTTTAGTCTCTGACATTTAACCTCAATAATACTCACTCAGTAGTTCCAATATTAATATCAGTGGATAAAGCATTGAAAAGAAAAATTATTTCATCCTATTGTACTAGACGCGACTCACAAGTATGTTTGTAAGTAGTATGTAGTGGAATGTAGCGTCAAAGTTTCTACAATGGTCAGATAAAGTAAAGAGTTTCAATGCATCAAAAACACAGCCTATGAAGAACGTATGGCGATCAGACAAAAAGATAGTTCAGATGGCAGAACACATGGAAAGATACAAATAAACGATTGAAGGCTATGTTCATGTTTATGTATTATCTAAATACTTTGTAATTTCTCTTAATGAATATGCATTCTTCCTGCCTATTGCTGTTTCTTTTTTTACTAGTTTAGAATTCGTCAGCAGTATTTGTCCACAATTTTGTTGTTTCATTGCTCATATAATTCAAAGATATATTCTACTTGTCAATTGAAACATTTTCAGAAGGGGTTTTGTGGAGATTTTAGTAATTTTTTTATTTATAGAGTTGAGATCGTGAGTCAATTGAAGCTAGACCACCATGGAAAACCTGAAAGCACTGGACGGCAGTTTCGTCCTTTTATGGGACTCCTCAGTAGTGCGCATCCACTATCCCTCACTCGCTAAAACATTTAACTATCAATAAGATTAACTTAATGTTTATTTGTAAACATTAAAACTTCTATCAATTCCCTTACTTACTAAAATGTTTATGAAATAGTTGCAAATTCCATGTTCATCTTACACACATACACACACACACACATAGACTATTAGAATCTATTACCTGGATTTGTTGAAACTTTGTACTATTACATTGTTATGAGTTGATTTTTCTTTTATATATCTATATATATTCTAAAGAATGACACTTCAATGAAGTGAATAGATGAAATCCATTGTAATAATATACTAATCACTTGGTAAGTCTATTGAATCTTCTTCTTTCACTGATGACATAATTAACTCTTTGTCTTGCCTTCTTTGTCAGTCAGTTCTCTTAATATTATTGAAATTGATTAAATTACTTTGCCCTTTTTTGTAATTGGTCATTTTAAAGTAAGAGAATAGATGAGTTGTTGTTGTGTTTTTTTCATTATAGTTTATTAGTGACATACTTCTTTCTGTACTTCATTTCTCTTAGTTAGATAGATGGCTTTCATTTGATTTATTAGTTATATATTAAGGCGTTACTTATACAGAATGAAAAATGTTGTGTTAGGGTGATTCATCTTTAATATGAAAATTATGTAGGAATATTTATTTGGTAAACTGTTAAGCATTGAATATTGGATTTTAAACTATTTCACATTTTATTATGTTTCTATCTGAGATATCAGTCTATCAACTTAAGAATATTACACCCTTGTCTTAAACTCTTCAAGAATGCTCACTTTTGTGTATTTCAGGAGTCGAGCGCAAGACCTTTAAATGTTATGGCATGTGTATATTTACCATTAAACCCAATAAATCCGCATTCAAAAAAATCCCATTTGTGATTTTAATGTCATTGTTAAGAAGGGAGTTTTTGTGGAGATTTTAGTAATTTTATAGTTGAAATCTAGAGCCAATTGGAGCTAGACCATCATGAAAAACCTGAAAGCACTGGGTGGTCGTTTTATCCTATCGTGGGACTCCACATCAGTGCGTATCCACGATCTCGCCTCGCGAGATTCGAACCCAGGATCTAGCAGTCTCGCGCACGAGTGCTTGACCACTGAGTCTGGATTCAACGGTGTTAATGTCTAACTTCAACCAATCCACGATGTTGCACCACCGTCCACCATTGTCTTTAGTGAATTGATATCTCACAACAGACTTGGATTGGTTGAAGTTAGACATTAACACCGCTGGATCCCGGCTCGGTGGGGTAATAGTAAAACACTTGCGCGCGAAACTAATGGGTCCTGGGTTGGAATCTCGCGAGGCGGGATCGTGGATACGTACTGCTGAGGAGTTCCACAATAGGACGAAACGGTCGTCCAGTGCTTCCAGGTTTTCCATGGTAGTCTAGCTTCAATTGACTCATGATTTCAACCATAGAGTTCCATATTACTTTGAAACAAACCTACAGCATTGGTTTTCAATAGTTATGTTGATAAAACGTGTTCATGATATAGACCACAAAGTGAATAGTTTCTGCGAACATCTTATGTTAATAGTAACTATCGATTGAACGAAATTTTAATACAGTTATTGATTATATTAAAGTAGTGATACACTCTAGATGTAATTTTATTTTACTTCACACAGACTGATATGTATTTGCTTCTGCCGAAAGAAGGTTGTTGTATTCCCCAAACTTTTAGATGCATTTTACTAACAAGTACTGACAACAACATTGAGGTGTTCTGTCTATCTATTATAAAATTTACTGTGTTGTTAATGTGCTCGCTTAGTGGAGCATCATATAAGTAGCATATGGAATTTGGTTAATAATAATAAAAAGAGGCTTTATTCAGAACTTCGAATTCTGGTTTAGTGAAGAATTGATTCTCAACACCGAGACTCTAGGTGATATGGCCCAAAATCGATCACAATGGCGTAGGTGTATAGACTCTTTATCTTCCTTTAAACCTTGAGATTAAAATTGCTTCATAACTTTCTTCCTTCCTATACTATATCCTTATATACAACCTATAATTTATATACTACTACCACTACTAAATTAACTACTTCTATGAATCTGGTGTTCATCTAGTCGTGCTAATTAGTGAGGTATGGCAACTTTGACCGATGCACAAATGTGCCTGGTCCTACGTTGTAGCTGACTGACTGAAAACACCGATCGTGCAGTATCACAGATATCTTTTTAACATAGATTTAGATTGTAGTAATTTTTGAACATATTTTAAAAGATTCTTAATAGTTAGTATCTTTCAATCGTATCCGATATTTCTTTTAACCAGTTCAGCTTCTACAACTACATTTTTCACCCATCATGTGTAGGGTACATGAGTTCTAACATATATGTATCTGTCTCCCGTCTTATCAAAGGATAAATAGATAGGAAAATACGCCAATAAATGCAGTGTTTCTGTTTGAGTTTTCCGATATTTAGGGCTGTAATAGTTTGTAAGTAATCTATAATAAGGCGTGGTTACATGCAATTAGTAATCACAATCACACAACTTAAACAAACTTAAATTACTTAGCTTAATTGGAGTATTTGTATAGTTGGAAATTAGATATGCCAAAAGTTTGGTCAAACCGTCCAAGGTATATATATTAATGAACTAGACATCTTTGACACATATACTAATATCCGGTTATCCTTTATACTTTTAATTTTGACTAAGCCTTCCATAAATAACTTTGACATCTGTTTGAATTCTAAATCCTTATGTTTTATTGTTTGAAATAACGTTTTAGTAACAGATAGGATTTTCCGAAATATTAGTTATTCCCTTAGTATTGTTTGCTTGAATCTTCACACCGATGCTTAGGACTGTGACGAGTCAATCTCTTATTGGCATATGTGCATACTGTGCGTACCACCTCGATATTCCAGTCCTAAGTATCAATGGGAAGATTCAAAAAAACAATACCAAGTGAATTCAGACTTCACCCCATTGCACAAGCAAGTGGCTATCAAGACTCAGTAGCTAAGTGAATAACGCGATGGCGTTTAAAGTTAAAGTACTGAATTCAAGTTTCAGAGTGAACATCAACTCTGAGATGCAGGTACATGCAGCTGACGAATCCCAAATAGGACGAAGTGTCACGTGTCCTGGATTTTACTACTAGCCACTATCCATCTTGGCTTATAATACTAGTTATCTCATCTAAATTTTTGGTGAATATTTTTGCTACTTAAATTTATTACAGTAGTAAATATCTTATTCGCATTTGTTTTTGAATTGTCAAATATTTTAACAGCTTCGTTATCCAGATCAAGTATTGGGATTATTCCTTATTAATCCAAATGCATCAACTCATGGTTATTATCAATGGTTCCGTAATGTTTGGTCTGATTTACCTGCACTTGAACGTGGTGTACTCACTGATAATTTAATGAGTCAATTAGAAGCTCATTGGTTTGGATTTGTAAGATTTTATTCTTTATGCTTATGATAACTAACTAACTAATTGTTTTCACACTTTTATCATTGTTTTCTTTGCAATTACACAGATGGTTGACTCCAGTAATGTTGTGTTCTCTGAGCTCTATAGAATAAGCGTGAAGCTTTCATTATTGTTTTGGATTATATCATCAGAGTCTAACTCCTATTGGAATTAGACGTTGATGATATTAACCAAGATGACAAATAAAGTATTGTAATCTGATTGTGTTGTTCATTGGTATCACTCTAATTTGAAATGATGATGATATAAGTTTTAGACTTGGCTCAATCCATCGTGTGTATTAAAAAAATATTTATATTTAAATCTTTAATAAGATTTAAATGATAATAACTCTGTTTTATTAATTGTGTTCAATTACATGTAGGCAATATCGATCGATCTATTGACTTGGGCTTTTCTATCCTATACAGTCCAAGTAATCCATTCAACGAGTGTTCTCTGAATTATATAACTCAATTGTTAGATATCTCATTCACAGTAACCTTAAAATATACCTCATTGATATTATTCAATTCTTTATCAGATTCATTCTTGTAGGCTAATTTAAAGGTTTACCAATTTGATGTAAATTTTAAGTTTGAAACATTATCATGCTATTAAAACCATCTTTGGGCATCATTACTTCGTAGAGACTTTTACGTACTTTCGCCATTCATTATTTTCATAACTTAAACATCTATTAACTTAAAACTAAATATTCTTTGAAACCTCAGCGATTGTATTTTTTTTCCGTGGTTCTAGAGTTACCGTAATTTTCAATCATGTACTTCTTCAAGACTGTGTATTTATTTCATTGTAAGTTATATTTAGCTTGACAAACTACTAAGTTACATGGTGTCTAAGACGACTACATTTGGATAGTCAAGATATACCATGAGGATCCTAGTAAACACACTTCTATTTATTATTATTATTAATTAAACACATAAATATTGGTGCAAGAGGGCACCAGATATATATACGTCACATAAAACAATGAAAATGGGAAGAGAAAGGGGTAAAATGCAAAAAAAAAAGTAATGGTTAGGGGAACTGAAGTGTACAACCAGAAGAGCTCTCTCAGTTAGGAAAGTTATAACCACTCTTTATGAAAAAAGTAAAAGAAGGTTACAGCAGGATCTCCACTGGCTTCTATTCTGAGCCATATCTGATAATGTCTCTAGCCACTGTGTTGCACAATCTCTCGGACCCCAACCAGGGAGTCGTGAAGGATCAACAGAAGCCAGCCTTTGAAGCTTTTTGCAGTGTCAGTATGCTTTTTCTATCGATACTTGAAGAAATTGATAAGCTTTTTTCTTTAAAAAGCTTGTAAGTAAACTATTGTAACTGAACCGATTCGTTCTTAAACTTCTTTGAGTTTATCGAAATGATTCAACAAGGAAATCAGGTGGGGGGATGATATCAACCTGAACTATTAATCTGTTGTATTTTGTTTGAAATAAAACGACTCTCAACTTTGATTACATTAAAATAACTTTACATTTTATTCATTTCATAATTCAGGGTTTAGTCGAAAATGCTGATGTAGCTAATTTTTATGAATCATTAACACGAAGTTTAAATCCAGCTAATTTAGCTGGTTATATACGTTCTTATGTGGATCGAACACCATTACCGTTAGTTCGACCAATACCTGGTCCTCCAATGCCTGATACTCATACAAATCCAAATGAAGAACCATCAGTTATACTTACTGAAGTATGCTTAGTAACTGGTGATCGCGCTGTGGAATTGTCACGTGCTTTAGCCGATATGAATGGACGTATGGATCCAAAACGTACACAATTTCTTATGGTAAATGAATTCATTTATTTTAATTCCATATATTATTTACTTCCATCAGTCTTTTTATGCAAAATATATTATAATCAATCCAATTTACTGGGAACAAGTAGGCTTATTCTTGATTTTTTATAGCTAGACAATGCACCTGAGTTTGAGTAAATCTAAAGATTGTAATTACCATAGATTTTATTCTATGGTGTTAACATCCACCGTTGAATGACCGGGTCAGTTTTCTAGATGTTAAGCGTTCGTTCGCGAGACCGAGGGTCCTGGGTTCGATTCTTGCATGGCGGATCGTGAATAAGAAGAAATGGTAATCCACTAGTTTCAGGTTCGCAATGATGGTCTAGCTAAGATCAGTTCGTGGTTTCAACAGTGATAAAACAAAATACGTATCAACCAATAAGTTTGTTTACTAATAATGGTTTTAACCAACTATAGGGGATTATTTCTAGTTACTTTTATGTAGTATAGTTATAGTACACAAATTTCATATTGAATATAGTTAGTAATATGCTTCGATTGACTGAATGGTATACTTTTCATTATAAGAGTGAGAGGTAATTATTGCTAAATATTTTAAAACGATTCAAAGGCTCCAATTGGTTTACAAGGTTTATTGGTAAGTTTTAGAGAATCAAATACTCTCGTTCACTGATCCGAAACTATTTTACTACTCATTATGGTAATCAGAAAAAAACACATTGATCCTTATGTTAACTTATATGTGACCGCTTTAGAGCTTCTCTGATTGCTTCTAACTTAAGTCATTCAAAGCATCTGGGCCGATACACTATTATCAGTCAGGAAGAGGGAGCTTACGATTGATCACTTCACCTTTTGTATTTCATATTCCGGACTGACCTTAGACACAATCTCAGAAGAAGTAAAGGAGGCGTCAGACAAATTTCTCATCCTAGTTTAGGATTCCTCGGAGTTACTCATCCACAACCCATCGATTCTTGAGCCCAGGACATTCAGGTCTCACTTCTTATTAATTCATAATTATGAAGGATGATCATTGAAAGTATTTCACCGTCTATTTATTATTTATTTATTTGAACACATTAATATTGGTACAAGGAAGCATCAGATACATAGGCGCCACACAAATCTTATTTGATTTGTGTGAGAGCTATGATACTGCCCAGGTGCCCAAACTGAAACAGGTGGTATTCTTAGGGGGCCACATCCAGAACCTTTGACCTAAAGATCTGATCCACAAGGCAGTGGAGCAACGTAAGGAGATGCAGTCCCATGGTAGCCAGTGACCAACGATTGATTCATACGCCATTTGTTCCTTCAGAATACTGGAGCTAAGCCATGTGCACCATTGGTTTGGAATCAGTGTTTCCCAACTCCCCTAGGTGGACTTTCCGTGTCCATCAAACCGGTTAGAGTGCCGGACATTCGCTTTTGGTCTTCTCAATTTTGTAAACAACAGTGATGCTACGAGGAGGCAGTGAGTAGGACTTCCCTGGTAGAGGCTGTATATGCGTGTCTGTGTGAGAGCATTTGGAGAGAGAGAGAGAGAGCTGAATTTCCCCACTCTCGGCCGTACCAGGGCATTTGGGGGCTAGACAGTGATCATTCACGTTTGATAGAAACACTGATTGGATTGTATTGATGTTATGTGTAAAAGACTACTAAACGAAAGTTTAATGAGTATACCATATTTCACTAAACATATAAAATTGAATAAATTGATCATTGTTATTACTATTATTATTATTATTCACCAATCACTGGCAGAATAAGTTGTTAAATGAACTTCAGATATTCTAGTGAAATTATATGCTAGTAGTTATTAACTATTTTACACCCAAATGTTGTTTTATGTCATAGAGCATATGTAGTGTGTGAAAGAATCACTTCATGATGAGTAAAACGAATGCGGAAATTAATTTCATATGATGATCGACTGCGGAAACTCCTTAAAAATTCACTGTTTTTGTTATTTCGGCGAAGCCTCATGATGTGGGTACTTTGCCCCCAAATGCCCTGGTACGGTCGCTTAATTTGAGCAAATTTTTTTTTTACTAAACACACTTATTTCTTTGTTATAATTTAATTTCAATAAAAATATACTTGAAGAATAGAAAGTTCTAGTTTTGTTCAGTATTTGTTGAAGCTCCATAACATATAAATATTTACTTCATCCATTTGTTGCCCCCAAATGCCCTGGTACGGCCGAGAGTGGGGAGAGTCCGCTCTCCCTTTCTAAATGCTCTCATGGCCACGCGTATATAGCCTCTGCCATGGAAGACCTACTCACTGCCTTCTCGTGGCGGGGGTATTGTTTAGGAAGTTGAGAGCACGAAAAGCGAATGTCCGGCGCTTTAACTGGGTTGGTGGACAAAGCGAGTCCACCTAGGGGAGTTGGAAAACCCTTATTCCAAACCAATGGTGCACATGGGCTCCAGTATCCTGAGGGAACAAATGGCGTATGAATCAATCGTTGGTCACCGGCTGCTATGATACTGCATCTCCTCACGATGCTCCACTGCCTTGTGGATCAGACCTTTAGGTCGAAGGCTCCGGATGTGACCCTCTAAGAAAATCACCTGTTTCAGTTTGGGCACCTGGGCAGTATCACAGCCCTCACACAAATCAAATGAGATTTGTGTGGTGCCTATGTATCTGATGCTTCCTTGAACCAATATCAATGTGTTCAAATAAATAACTAATAAATCATCCATTTGTTACTGTATGAATGTGAAGATTAATGGTTTAGTGATAATCAAAGCTCGAAGTTTTCATTCATTAGGTTACATTCTGTAAATTTGATCCATCCGTTTCAGTTCATACAACTGGGTAATAATTTTAACTTCTACACAAATTACTTACTTACTTACGCCTGTTACTCCCAATGGAGCATAGACCGCCGACCAGCATTCTCTAACACACTGTCCTGGACCTTCTTTTCTAGTTCTATCCAATTTTTGTTCATTCTTCTCATGTTTGTCTCCATTTCTCTGCGTAATGTGTTCTTTGGTCTTCCTCTTCTCCTTTGATCTTCAAGATTCCATGTGAGGGCTTGTCTTGTGATGCAGTTTGGTGCTACATAAATTATATGGCTTAAATTCTAATACAAAATGCATGTGATTCGTTAATAAATTACATAAATTAACAACATTTAAATATTTAGAATTGAATACATGAATACATTTTTATTCTTATTGTTTATTAGATCGTTCTTTTAAAAATAAAAAAGGCATCTGTAAGTTACTGGTATTTCATTACAGATGCCGTCGGAAACACGGCTAGAGTTTGTGACAACCATTGGGTGATCGATGTTTAAGTTAGGTATAGGGTATTCAGCAAAGACAGGATATGGATTGCTGAACCAAAATATGGTATCATTTTTCGGAGTCATGAACTGTTGTTTTGAGCCATGTTTGGTTGATGCCTGTGTGACTTTTGTGAACGGTCGTAGAAGAAGTTGGATCAAATGGATCAGAAGCATACATTCATGGTCTTTCTCTAAATCCTAAATTTCAAGGTTATTTTATGTTTTCTTATTCTACAAATTATTGTACTATGCTCAAACCATATTCTCGATACCTAATCCTTTTTAATCCCACTGATGATAGTATTACTACTCTGACATTTATTATGATAGTCCCATTCCCTTTTGTTTTTATGTAATGTGCCCCCAAATGCCCTGGTACGGCCGAGAGTGGGGAGAGTCCGCTCTTCCTCTCGAAATGCTCTCACATGGCCACGCGTATATAGCCCCTGTCATGGAAGACCTACTCACTGCCTCCTCGTGGCGGGGGTATTGTTTACGGAAAGTCCACCTAGGGGAGTTGGAAAACCCTCATTCCAAACCAATCGTGCACATGGGCTCCAGTATCCCGAAGGAACAAGTGGCGTATGAATCAATCGTTGATCACCATATACCATGGGACTGCATCTCCTCACGATGCTCCACTGCCTTGTGGATCAGACCTTTAGATCAAAGGCTCGGAGTGTGGCTCCCTAAGAAAACTAGCTGCTTCGGTTTGGGCACCCGGGCAGTATCACAGCCCTGTCGCAAATAAATGAAATGAAACATTCAACTGACAATTATATTCTCGTTCATACTAGAAACAATACAATTTGCATTATTACTATTATTATTATTGTTATTATTATTATTTACCATATCGCTAATTCACCCCCTTTTATCCCCAATTTGTGTAACCTTACTTTTCAACTTATGCAGCAGCTCGCCCGTGGTGGAAAATCTGTCCTATCTAAACGATCTCCAGTCACTGTCTGGTTGAAAGTGAATGCTTCCACCGATTATGAATACTGAAGCAGTCTTTCTGAAACCACGTACGCCGTTCAAGCTGACTTCCTTCAACGTTCGCACACTAATGCAGATCAGACAACAGATAGGGCTGGCTATGTCTTTGGAATGTCTTAATGTTGACGTTTGTTGTCTATCCGAGACCCGTATTCAAGACTCTAGTGAAGTACTACAAATTCGTTCTCCATCTGTCACTTCGAAAAGCTTGTTCCACGTGCGCTTATCCGTGGACCCTGTGGCATCTTCGTCTGGTCTTGCTGGCGTTGGTGTCGCACTAAGCGCTAGGGCTGAGGCAGCACTAATCGATTGGATCCCCATTAACAGTCGGTTTGTGTGCTGTTAGATTAGAAAGTTCTATCAAAGTGAGAAGAAATCGGCGTGAGAAACGGTGTCTTTTCGTCCTCTCCGCCTATGCCCCGACAGATTGCAGCCAGGATGCAATCAAGGATGAGTTTTACCATCAGATAACAGTTCTTCTCCAGAAAGCGCGTTCGACAGATATTGTAGTACTAGCCGGAGACTTGAATGCACAGGTCGGGCGTCTAGGCACAGAAGAGAGTCGATTAGGTGGCCGATGGAAACTTGTTGGTCGCAGGACAGATAACGGGGACCGTTTGCTGCAACTGTGCACAGATCACAACCTGTTTCTAGCCAGCACTAACTTCCGGCACAGTCATCGCCGATGTGCCACCTGGCGTCCTCCCTCTGCATCCCAAGCCTGGACTCAGATTGATCATATCGCGATCAGCTACCGCTGGCTTGGCTGTGTACAAGACTGCCGCTCCTTTTGGAGTACCTATCTGGAGTCTGATCATGCCCTGGTCTGCGCCAATCTCACCAAGCTGCAAAGGGCTAGCTTCTGTTGGTCCTTCACGACTCCCTGGTTGGGGTCCGAGAGATGGTGCAACACAGTGGCTAGAGACGTTATCAGATATGGCTCAGAATAGAAGCCAGTGGAGATCCTGCTGTAACCTTCTTCTACTTTCGTCATAAAGAGTGGCTAAAACTTTCCTTACTGAGAGAACTCTTCTGGTTGTACATTCAGTTCCCCCCATAATTACTCTTCTCCTTTTCTTTTTTTCCTTCTTTTATATATACGCATCTTCTTCCTTCTCCTCCCATTCTCATTATTTTGTGTGGCGCATATGTATCCGGTGCCCTTTGTACCAATATTACTTACTTACTTACTTACGCCTGTTACTCCTCGTCGAGGAGCATAGGCCGCTCACCAGCATTCTCCATCCAACTCTGTCCTGAGCCTTCCTTTCCAGTTCTTTCCAGTTGCTATTCATCCTTTTCATATCGGCTTCTATTTCCCGGCGTAGTGTGTTCTTTGGCCTTCCTGTTTTCCGCTTCCCTTCCGGATTCCAAGTTAGGGATTGAGTCGTGATGCACATTGGTGATTTCCTGAATGTATGTCCGATCCACTTCCAACGTCTTTTCCTTATTTCCTCTTCAGCTGGAAGCTGGTTTGTCCTCTCCCATAAAACGCTGTTGCTGATAGTATCCGGCCAATGGATGTTGAGTATTTTGCGTAGACAACTGTTTATAAATACTTGTACCTTCCTGATGATAGCCGTAGTAGTTCTCCACGTTTCAGCTCCATACAGTAGGACTGTCTTGACGTTCGTATTAAAGATTCTGACCTTGAAATTGGTTGAGAGTTGTTTTGAGTTCCATATGTTCTGCAATTGTAGAAATGCTGCCCTTGCTTTGCCAATCCTTGCCTTTACATCTGCATCCGATCCTCCTTGTTTATCAACGATGCTCCCCAGGTACTTGAATGTTTCCACCTCTTCCAGAGTTTCGCCATCAAGTGTGATTGGGTCGGTGTTCTCCGTGTTGCATTTGAGAATCTTGCTTTTTCCTTTGTGAATGTGGAGGCCTATCGATGCGGAGGCTGCTGCTACATTTGCTGTCTTCATCTGCATTTGGTCGTGTGTATGAGAGAGGAGGGCTAGGTCATCTGCGAAGTCCAAATCATCTAATTGATTCTGAGAAGTCCATTGTATTCCGTATTTCCCTTCAGATGTCGAATCCTTCATAATCCAGTCAATCACTAGAAGGAAGAGAAATGGGGAGAGTAGACAGCCTTGTCTGACTCCGGTCCTTACTGGAAATGCATCTGTCAGCTGTCCTCCATGCACCACTTTGCACTGTAATCCATCGTATGAGTTTTGGATAATGTTGACGATCTTCTGAGGAACTCCATAGTGTCGAAGAAGTTTCCACAATGTTCTCCTATCCACGCTGTCAAACGCCTTCTCATAGTCGATGAAGTTGACGTATAGTGATGAGTTCCACTCAACTGATTGTTCAACGATGATCCGTAGTGTCGCAATCTGATCTGTGCACAACCTATCCTTACGGAATCCAGCCTGATGATCCCTAAGTTCGGCGTCTACTGCGTCTTTCATCCGATTCAGCAGCACTCTGTTGAAAACTTTTCCTGGTACTGATAACAAACTGATACCTCTGTAGTTCTCACATTGGCTCAGATCTCCTTTCTTTGGTATCTTGATGAGATATCCTTCTTTCCAGTCCGTTGGCACTTGTTCCTCTTCCCAAATCTTTTTGAATAGAAGGTGAAGCATGTTTGCAGTTATTTCAATGTCTGACTTCAGTGCATCTGCTGGTATATTGTCAGGTCCTGCCGCCTTCCCACTTTTGATTTGTCTGATGGCCATCTTGACTTCTTCGATCGTTGGTGGAGTGACATCTATTGGAAGGTCAGTGTGGGCTGCTTCGATGTTCGGTGGATTCGATGGGGCTGGTCTATTCAGCAGTTCCTCAAAGTATTCTGCCCATCTTTTCCTCTGTTCCTGAATCTCAGTGATTGTCTTTCCTTCTTTGTCTTTGACTGGTCTCTCTGGTTTGCTATATCTTCCTGCCAATTTCTTCGTTGTATCATATAGTTGTTTCATATTCCCTTCTCTTGCAGCTTTTTCCGCCGCCGTTGCTAGTTCTCCCATGTATTTCTGCTTGTCGGCTTTAATGCTTTTCTTCACTTCTCTGTTTGCTTCTGCGTAGTCTGCTTGTGCTTTGACTTTCTCTGCTCGTTTGTACCAATATATATGTGATTAAATAAATAAATAATAAATGGGCGAGAATACATGTGGGGGGGACTACCAGTTTGTTATTTTATGCAAATTACAGAATATCATTTGCAAATCTATCCATTTTTCTTTATGTTTTGTCTAATTCTTCCAACTCACAATTTCTTTCTATTAAGTCTTCTTAGCCTACTGTTGGGAGCCATTCAACTTTTGATTAATGTCACACACTACTTATGTCGATATGATAAATTGAATTAATACAGATATATATGCCAGATTCAATATTGCTTATAATTGATTAACTGATATTATCATTATATTTGAAATAATCTCAGCGACTGAAATTTAAAGTTGGAATCATGAGTCAAGTAAAGCTAGACCACCATGGAAAATCTGGAAGCAATGGACGGCCGTTTCGCCCTATTGTGGGACTCCTCAGTAGTGCGCATCCACGATCCTGCACTCGTGAGATTGGAACCCAGGACCTACCAGTCTCGAGACAGAGGCCTTAACCGATCGAATCTTGCAAGTGCGGGATCGTGGATGCGCAATGCTGAGGAGTCCCATAATAGGATGGAACAGCCGTCCAGTGCTTCCAGGTTTTCCATGGTGGTTTAGCTTCAATTGTCTCATGATTTCAACTTGAAAAATACTGAAATCTCCACAAAACCATTTCTGATTGAAATTCAAATAATCCTAGTGTTTCGTCTAAGAAACTTGTCTGGACTTCTTCAGGGTAATCTTATACTTAGCGTTCAATTTTTGTTAAACGATTAGTTATAATATTGACGAGTATTCATGTAAATAATATTATCATTATTTTTGTTTTATGTGTCCTTCATTCAGATGCCTGATTGTACTGGTATGGTGATGGAAGAGAATCCTAGCAAATTAATAATGAATTTTTTACACTTCTTGCGTAGTATTGGACATGGTAAGTTAATTGTAATGTGTTTACTCTATTTGTATTACAGTATAGCAAGAATAATGAAAATAGTTCTGATAAGATCATGGATATTATCTCCACTTGACAATTTGGTGTTTTAAATACCAACTCAGTAGTAATGGTTTAAAGGAGTAATATTCTCGTCGTAAAACCGGAAAGTTTTGGGTTACATTTCTTATTTTATTTATTTACGTAATACCTAGTACAACTGGGTATCGAAAATTGGTGAACGCTATACAGAATATTACTGTATGCACTGTAATACTACCTGGGCAGCCAAACGGAAGTAGGTGATTTTCTTCAGAGGCCATCGCTCTAGTTTTTGATCTATAGCTCTGATCCACGAGAAAGCGGAGGATTGTTTGAATGTAATTGTCGATAGTAGTAGTCGATAATTAAATACTCATACGTTATTTGTTCTTTTAAAACTAGATAGCTCATGCAAAATATTGGTTTGTAATCAGAGCTTCCCGACGCTCTATATCTAACACCTCAGTGTAATTCCTAGAAGTTTTCTTTTTGTAATTCCGCTTTCATAAACAACGCTTCTAATATGAGAATGAAATGAGTGGAATTCCCCTGGAAGAAGCTATAAACATATAGCCGATTTGGACCTCAAATAAAAAACTAGAATCTCTCCTACTCTCAACCCTAGCCCATTTGTCAGCTTTATCCTTGAAAGAGTCACAAGGGACTATATCTCCTGACGTTGCTCCACTACCTTCTGGATTAGACCTTTAGGTCAAGCGCTCTGCGAGTGCTCCCCCTAAGGAAACCATCTGCTTCGGTTCGGGTATCCAGGCAGTATCCCAGCCCTCACAAAAATCAAATGTTTTGTGGGGCGCATGTATATTAAGTGCCTCCTCGTACCAATATTTATATGTATAAATAAATAAATAACCATAAGTGAATACTTTCATAGTTGAAAGTATCAATCAATTGAAGCTAGATCACCAAGGAAAACCTGGAAGCACTAGACGGCCGTCTCGTTGTATTGTTGGACTCCTCAGCATTGCGCACTCACGATCTCGCCTCGTGAGATTCGAACCTAGAACCTATCAGCCTCGCACCAGAGCACTAGCTTCAATTAACTCATGCTTTCAACTATGAAAATACTGAAATCTCCACAAAAACCCCTTCTGATAATAAGTGAATACTGTCAAAAAGTTATCTTAGTTTTCACTTGTTTCCTAACTAATAATCAATTCACCATATGTAGACTATTTTTCTTTATTTGTTTTTTCTAGTCAATTCAAAGTTTATTTTTGGAAATAGTAAAAAAAAATAAACTGATCTCATGTTCCTTTTCTATTCATCTATTCCTCTTCTCTCCTTTCATCTTAACTGAAATATATACATACAATATTATAACTCAATCGCATGTATTTGTTAATTCACTATCTATACTTATCATTATAATCCATGTTGTTAAGTAAAGTAAGGGTACAACTTCCTTTTCTAATGTTTTCATGTACTATATTTAAAATAATGGAAGAAAAATCAACTCTGTTTTTCATTGAGATCACTACTCCACCCCCCACCCCCCAGAAACAAACAAACAAAAACAAACTGACAACATTTTTGATTCATTTTTTTGGTTTCATTCAACTATGTTTCCTTTTTCTTCGCTTTTATTATTCTACTTATAAAAACAAAACAACAAACTAATTTCAAATAGAATTTAGGCATTGAATAATGAAAGGTTTTTTGATCAAGAAATGTTCAATGAGATCAAAGTATTTTTATAATCGTTAAATGGAATATAAAGCCTAATTATATTAAAATGATTGTAATTATTCACTTAGTAATACTTGTTTGAAAGCTTCCCATTGATGTGTTAGGACTGCAACTGGTCAGTCTCTTATTCGCATATATGCATACTGTGTGTATTGCCTCGATATAGCCTTAATTCACAAGCATTGTAAGCAAAGATGGATAGTGACTAGTAGTGGAATCCAGTTTGACGCGCGTTTTGTCCTATTTGGGGCTCGTCACAATCAAGTGGCTATTAGGACTCAGTAGCTAAGTGGATAACGCGATGGCGTTTGAAGCGAAAGGTACTGGGTTCAAGCCACAGAGTGAACATCAACTCTGAGATGCCGGTACATACACTTGACGAGTCCCAAATAGGACGAAACACGCGTCTTGGATGCCACCGCTAACCACTATCCATCGTTGCTTACAATAATTGTAATTATGTCTAAATATAGCTTTGTTTTCAAAGAGAAATAATAAGTGGCTATTAAATTGAATATTTTGTTTCATCTATGGAGATTTCGTCAATCAGTCACCGTTAATGTAGAACATGATCTGATTGTATGTGTCAGTTTGAGTTACTGCATCTTAAATCAGTATAGTGAGCAAGAAAACGTATAATATGAATGGATCGGAGATTAACTCTACGTTACCAAGTCATCTAAGTGCATCGTAATCAGTGATTACAGTTATGTTTTCGTTTATTTAATCAATCAATTGTAGATATTTTAGGCTAATTTTTATCATAAAATTAATTCAAGATATGACTTTTGATCTGTTGAAAGTTTTTCCCCATCATGACTGACTGACTACCTTACACTTGGCACATACGTAGCATAATGCAGTGGTATTTTCGTTGTAGAAAAGTTTACACTTTTCATGTGACCAACAATTGGTTCATGCGCCACTTGTTCTCTTAGGATACTGGAGCCCATGTGCACTATTGGTTTGGAATCAGGGTTTTCCAACTCCCCTAGGTGAACTTTCCGTGTCCACCAACTGGCTATGGCGCATATATATCTGGTGTCCACTTGTACCAATATTTATGTGTTTGATAAATAAATTTAAATTTTTGAAAAATTGCGATTTTTCATCACAAACGTCTGGCGATAATTTCTTACTCAGGAAGTCGTATTCATTTGTAATATAAACTTTAAATGAGAACAATTCCTTCTTCTTATATTTATATATTACTGAATGTGAACTATTCTAAACCTTTTTGTCTGTTGTTGTTCTCGTTTCAAATAGTTATCAACCTTACACCAGAGAAAATGCGTCAACAAGCAACAGATTTACAACAATCTATGCTTGAAGAATTACCTGAAACATGTTTACCAGCTAAATTGGTTATGGAACCTGAAGTTTAAAAGAAAATGAACAACGACGACAACAGAGAGAGAGAGAGAGCAGTATACTGATTGACAATGTGATCATAATATTCACTGGGGTGTTTTTTTTTCTATTTACCTGTCATTGCACATTATATTTGTCTCGTAAACCATTAATTTTTTTTGAGGGGGGGGGGAGAATCCACTAAAGGATAACTTTCTAATCCAATAATAATAAAGATTACATTTATGCCGTAAAAGCGCATTTTACTAACTTAACAAACTAATTGGTTGGCTGGTTTCTAACCTTGATTTTGATTAAAATTATATATATATATAATCTATCACTCTTACAGTTTCTTTCATTTTACTAACTTGTATCATTGATATCGACATACGTACATGTTACTACTACTACTACTACCCAGTTTTCACAGTAGTATTGGTTCCATTTTATGAATGAACAGTTAAATATTGGTTTAAATAAGTACTCATTGACTCTTATAATCATCATCATCATCATTACATGGTGATTGTTTCGTTAGAAAATTTCTTGTTGGTTGTTGACTTTTCTGTGTTCGTTTTCCCCATTTCATATGACCATATTTTTGAACTTATACCTAATTCTTTACTGTCAAAAGCATTTTGCTTATGTTTCATCATTCAATCATTCTTTGTTCATTAGTTAAACAACTGTTGACATATATGTCAAGCCTCTCTCATAGTTATTGTCATTCTCTCATACTGCACATCATATTCGATAAGGTTCTAAAGATTTTCTCTGGCTATAATTTTTCACCAATCTCCTCTCCCCTTTCATTCCTGGTTAAGGTTATTCAATTTATTATTCACTTACATGCATATAATAGCTACTTAATCAAGTAGTAGTAGTATTCTCAACATTTGTTTGTATGTTAGTACATACTGTGATGATATTATTCATGCTTTGTGTTCTTTTTCTCATAATTTCTGTTGTTTTGAAGTTAGTATTTTCTTTTTTAAAAGACATTGTATTCAGTAATTAGTATTAGTATAATAGTAGTATGTTTGGTGTTTCGTTTTTTTCGAAAAAAAAAACATTATTCATTTTACTTTTTATTTTCTCAAGTGATAATTTTAATATAATTAATAATTTCATAAATTGATGAACAGTTTTTGTGTGTTTCTACTTGTCTTTGGTACAATGATGAGGAAGTCGGATAAGTACTGAACTAGTCTGAGTTGGAGCATATGATGAAATGTCATCTGATTTCGCAACCTCAATCGATGTCCGGCATGGCTGTCCACTATCCCCATTTTTGCTCAACTTCACCATAGACCTACTGCTGGGAATAACGTTCTTGTCGACTGAATTTTCAGGCATCGATCTCCTACCAGGAGGTACACTTATCGACTTAGAATACACAAATAACATAGTCCTGTTTAGTAGAGACACTGACAAAATGCTGTCTTTTGGTAGCATTAAGCAACAATACAATGATGTTCGGGATGCGTTTCTCCCCCACTAAATGCAATTTGTTACTCCAGGACTGACCTGCGTCAACATTTGAAATAAGGATAGAGAGTGAAGTAGTAGAACACATGGACAACTTCACTTATCTTGGAATTCTGATCAGTCCTAATGGGTTGGTGTCTGACGACGAAATCTGTGCACGGATTCAGAATGCTCGTTTGGCTTTTGCCAACTTACGTTACCTGTGGCGAAGGCGATATGTCCTTCCGTTTATCAATTAAGGGACGAGTATATTGTGTGGCAGTTCGTTCTGTTCTACTTTACGGCTGCGAAACGTGGCCATTAAGAGTAGAAGATACTCGTAAGTTACTAGTATTTGACCACATATGTCTTATAAATATTGCTCGCATTTGTTGGTTTAAAAGATAGTTTACGATAAACGGAATATATAAACATAGTAATTTAGTCAGTTAATAATTGTACAATAAGAATAAATATAATAGTAATAATAATCCATATAGTAGTTCCGGGAATTACCTTTTTTCAATCTTCGTTGTGATATACCAAGAAGTAAATAATGTATATAGGTGAATAAAATAGTCCTAGATTCACTTAGTATTACTTGTTTGAATCTTCCCATTGATGTGTTACGACTGCAAATGGTTAGTCTTCTATTGGCATATGTGCATACTGTGCGTATTGCCTCGATATAGCCTTTTGCAGGTACATTCAGCTGACGAGTCCCAAATAGGACGAAACGCGCGCCCTGGATTCCACTGTTAGCCACTATCCATGTTTGCTTAAAATGGTCCTAGGTTATTAAATTTAAATAGGATTTATAAGGTTGATAATGGTTATTCAGTCGAGTAATTTGGTTGTTTGTTTAACTAAACAACTTTTAACTATTAAGTCTCAAGTTTGAAACATTATTCATCTACACTGTTCTAATCAGTTTATCATTAATTACTGTAAATAAGACTAATGTATTTTAATAGATATTTAAAGAATAGAATGATTATGTGAATAGCAATACCAGGTCATATCAGTCAGTCACAACGTAGAACTTCGTACGCACGTACACCAGTTCGAGTTGCCATAACATATTAACACAGATGCAGTTGTCGATTCAAATCCAATAGTGGTAGAAGTAGTAAGAGTATAAGCAGTAATTCGAAAGATTAGGGTTTGAAGATGTTATTGTAGGAGTATAATCCAGGGAAATTAATTTGGAAAGAGAAGAAAGAAAGGGACATGAAGAATCCAGAAGATTAGAATCCGGGAGAACACAAAGAGTGGATACACCTTCGCCAAACGTTTTTGAGCCATGTCATTTAAGGTCTCTAAGCATCGATTGCTATCATCTCACGGATCCTAACAAGGTAGTCTACACCTACTAACATGACTCAGTCCACTTGTCAGTAACTTCATGGATTTATGCCACGTTGTGGTCTGGCCGCCCCTAGCATTCTTTCAACCTACACCATAAAACATTGCACGTCGGTGGTTGGGCATATGTAACACATGTCCCAGTCATCTCAACTGATAAACTTTCACTACTTCATCAGGTCATATGGAAATGGATATACACCTATAGTTAAGCAATAATAAAGTATTAGATCTTTCTTGTTAATTGACTTTACAATTATAAAATCAAAAATGATTCATTTGTATTACATATGATGAAATATTAATTCATATAATAAATTGAAAACAACAAAGAAAACATCACGTTACTTGAATCCATAACTTTATTGGTCATGTTAAGAGAAGCTCATCCATAGATGATAAGAATGATAAATACTAATTAATAAGACGAAACTGTATGTAAGACAAGTTAATACAGTATAGCGATTCATTTATGTTTGTATTGTTTGTTTAAATCTTCCCAATGATGTTTAGGACTGTAAGATGATGGGGAAGATTTTTAGCTCAGGTGGATGATTTTAATAGAGTTAAGTTTTTTGAGCTGGATGGTTTGGTCGTGAAGTTTTCATCATCCTTCTGAACGACATTATCAGCACAAACTTCGAGTAGAAGTGAAATGTGATTGAACAGTCTGTTATTGGCATATATGCACCATGTACGGATCGCCTTGTTATTGTCTTAAATCACAAACATTAACTGAACTTAGTAGCTAAAGGGGATTATGAGGTGGCGTTTGAAACAAACGGTACTGCGCTCGAATCATAGAGTGACTATTAACTTTGGAATGCAAGCAAATCCAGCTGATGAATCTCAAATATGACAAAACACATGTCCCGAATTCCACAGAAATGTTAATTTGAATAGATAAATAAAACCCTGATGAAGAAATTATCGTAAACGATCCTTCGCTCTAATACATTTAGTTTTAAAACTTTCTACGGCAACTTTTCTTCTTAATTGCTAATAGTATCAAATCTATCTATTTAAGAAAGGAACGAATCGAGCGAAGAAATTTCTTTTCAATTAGTTTTTCATCATGGCTCTACACTAATATGCATTTATGATTTACAATAATTAAATAACACTCATGGAGTAGATACGTTACGTAATGATTATATAATGACATCGATTATAAACTAACATTAATTGGAAGAGAAGGATTAATACTAATCAAAGTAGATATTCGAAAATTAAGCTGTTGCTACGCTGCATAATATATAAAAATGAGAAGAAAGAACTAACAAAATATTTTGATGAATGGTCAGTAATATAGTAGTTATGTAAGAATCAAGAGACGAATGAAGAGAATAAGTAAAATACAAAAAATGGAAGGAATAAGATAATTGTTTACCGAAATTATGCTACAAACTCCGCTATACCGATGGCCAAGGTAGCAAGAGTGGTTGTACAAACTTCTTTTGGATACAAATGTTCGGTTTGTGAATATGAATTGCGATGGCTTCAGCTATGTGCAATAGACGAGCTCTATCTATATTTGTTTTAAGAAGGAATAAATATATTGATTTAGCTTGGTTACAACGATACTTTATATCCCCTCATCATATTGAATGTTAAATATACAATACACCACACAATTAATTGAATTCATTGACTGTGTAAACGAACTCGAATGCAACACGGAGAACACCAACCCAATCACACTTGACGGCGAAACTCTGGAAGAGGTAGAAACATTCATGTACCTGGGAAGCATCACTGATAAACAAGGAGGATCGGATGCAGATGTAAAGGCGAGGATTGGCAAAGCAAGGGCAGCATTTCTACAATTGAAGAACATATGGAACTCAAAACAACTCTCAACCAATTTCAAGGTCAGAATCTTTAATACGAACGTCAAGACAGTCCTACTGTATGGAGCTGAAACGTGGAGAACTACTACGGCCATCATCAGGAAGGTACAAGTATTTATAAACGGTTGTCTACGCAAAATACTCAACATTCATTGGCCGGATACTATCAGCAACAGAGTTTTATGGGAGAGAACAAACCAGCTTCCAGCTGAAGAGGAAATTAGGAAAAAACGTTGGAAGGGGATCGGACATACATTAAGGAAATCACCAATGTGCATCACGACTCAATCCCTAACTTGGAATCCGGAAGGGAAGCGGAAAACAGGAAGGCCAAAGAACATACTACGCCAGGAAATAGAAGCCGATATGAAAAGGCTGAATAGCAACTGGAAAGAACTGGAAAGGAAGGCACAGGACAGAGTTGGATAGAGAATGCTGGTGAGCGGCCTATGCTCCTCGACGAGGGGTAACAGGCGTAAGTAAGTAAACGAACTTGAATGTCCATAAAACTAGTGTATTATGTGCCTTAGAAAGATCACTAGTTTGTTTGTTTTAGAGTTTATTGAAAGATTACGATTTGAAATATCAACATTATTCTGTCTGTGAGATAAATATTAAATGTTCCTTCAACATACTTTGATGAGCTTCATCATTGCTTGCAAGATGTCAGTATCGAACATAAGCAATCCTTCAAAAACAACAAGGATTAAACACAGCCGCTAGAAATCCTGGACTCAAAGGGACCAACACAGGATAAGACTTATCTTATTAACCTGTTGACAATGATTTAAGTTTCCACTTTTTATATTCGTGCAGTTGATCGTCATTTGAGTAGTCAAGGTTCAAAGTCGACTAATTTTGTTCTGTTCCGTAAAGATTTTTATGATGATTAACATTTATCGACTGTCATCTATGTTCTACATTTTTACTTACCCTCAAGAATATAATCCTTTTTCAAGCTTTCCTTTATGGTATAGGCCAATTTATACATTCTTTTACTATCCAGAGTTCATGTTACGGGTGTCAAATAAGTTATCATCTATCTATGCATAGTAAGATAATCCATATATGTAAAAACGAAAATGTGATAAACTCCTCATTACAAGTAGAGTAAGATGGTAACTAGTAGTGGAATCATAACGCACGTTCCGTCCTATCATCACCGTATCTCACGACCAGTTACTCAGCTTAGCTACTACGCTTTCTTGACCAATCGAATTAGACAGAAACATATACGACAGGGTAGGAAGTAGTATTTCTCAAGTTTAAGTAAAATCACTTACTCTAAATTTACCTATAAGTGATCAGAATGGTGTAGAACAGATGTGTGGGCGAAAACTTTAGGTAAGTGGAAAAATTGACTTATGTTCAGCCTTGAAACGTCATGTAATTTGTTCAGTTTCGCTCCGCGCATCATTAACACGTTCGACGAGTGATTAACTGTATGTAGGACTATACACGAAAATCGGTTCTTTAATAAGCATAAGTAAACTTAACCATCATTTCCCAGAGTTTGTTCATTTTGAAGTAGCTCGCAAAATGATTAATATCCTCGTAACAACTACCATCTAAAACCGATCAATAATCGGAACTAAGCCAAATCTAACATCTCATAAATATAACATTTTACTAGGTTAACGAATTGATCCGAGTTGGGCAGACGTTAAAATTCTGTCTGTCTAACTTCGATCGAATAGTTAGTGATCTCAATAAAACTCAGTAATCTCCACACTGAAGGAAAATAATATGGTTAGATTGAAGTGATTAATTGGGAGGTCGAACTCCTGAAACTATTCTACAGAAAATTATTGCTTATATATTTATTAAAGACTTGGTTTATGGTATTTTAATATTGCTCTTATTGCAAACTGCCATTTAGTCTACTGTTCTTAAACTATTGAAGATTATTTATACAGTTTTGTATCATATTTGACCGAGTCATTTACAAATCATGGTTTCTTATTCATGGAGCTTCGTGGTCATATAATTAGTATGAATGATTTTGTTCTTGAGTCAAGATGATGACATAGGACAATACATTGATCAGTTAAATCTGCATAATGTACTCGTTTATTGAATGACCATTAGGGATAGGAAAAGCTATATGGACCAATAGGATTTCCGATTACTATCTTATTGGATAGGGAGTCATTGGTTTGATAGATATAAAACGAATACATCATAAGTGGATTCGACAATCCAGTGCTCTCAGTTATTATAGGGAATGTAAAAACTCATGGTATTTACATTCCCCCCCCCTAAAATTGGTGTTCGTTTATAACAGAATGGTTTCTTTATATTTTTGATCGATAAATTATCCATAAGTTGATAAATATGAGATTAGTTTATTGTAATCCTAGGTCTACAACGATAAAGAATGTTTTCATCGGTCCGATTAACAGTATATTGTTAGGAATCAATCCTAATGACTCGTCATTTTCTGATGTAGTGAATCTTGGTGAATTCGGCTATTATTCTTATCTTTTAAAACTCACTTTATTGGTATACATTAAAAAAAAATGCTTTTAACTCCAAGCCATCAGTTAATCGTAATCAATGTAGAGCCTGGGAACAATATGCATCAACCTAATTTTTATACCACATTAACACGATCGTTTGAAATTAACATGAATAGTTTGTTTAAACACATAAATATTGGTACAAAGGGGCACCAGATATATATGCGCCACACAAATCTCATTTGATTTGTGTGAGGCCTGGGATACTGCCCAGGTGCCCAGACTGAAGCGGGTGGTTTTCTTAGGGGGCCACACTCCGAGCCTTTGACCTAGAGGCCTGATCCACAAGGCAGTGGAGCATCGTGAGGAGATGCAGTCCCATGGTAGCCGGTCACCAACGATTGATTCATACACCATTTGTTCCCTCAGGATACTGGAGCCCATGTGCACGATTGGTTTGGAATAAGGGTTTTCCAACTCCCCTGTGTGGACTTTCCGTGTCCATCAACCCGGTTAGAGTGCCGGACATTCGCTTTTCGTCCTCTCAATTTCGTAAACAACATGAATAGTAAAGACATCTAAATAATATAGTAGCAATGATAATCCGTTGGAAAAAGGAGAGACGATAAGTAATAGTAGACAATTATTTCGAATTATTAACAGAATAGGTATTGAAAAGACACTCATTAGTGTTACTATTATCATTATGTACCATGAAGCTAAACAGCCTTGTTTAAAGTTACCAATTAAAAATAATTCATGTAATATGTAAGCATTAATTGATCAACGATGTTTAAACAATACACTCAACATGTAACCACTAAATCACTAGTTACACCCGATGTTTAAGTGTGCATTCATTTGAAGTTTATTTCAAGGGAAATGCTCTGGTACAGCCGAGAGTGGGGAGAGTCCACTCTCCCTCTTCAAATGCTCTCACATGGCCACGCGAATATATGGCCTCTACCAGGGAAGTCCTACTCACTGAATTCTCTCGTCATTCCTATTGTTTACGAAGTTGAGAAGACGAAAAGCGAATGTTCGGCACTTTAACCGGGTTGATAGACACGGAAAGTCCACACAGGGGAGTTGGAAAACCCTTATTCCAAACCAATCGTGCACATGGGCTCCAGTATCCTGAGGGAACAAATGGTGTATGAATCAATCGTTGGTGACCGGCTACCATGGGACTGCATCTCCTCATGACGCTCCACTGTCTTGTGGATCAGGCCTCTAGGTCAAAGGCTCGGGGTGTGGCCCCCTAAGAAAACCACCTGCTTCGGTTTGGGCACCTGGGCAGTATCCCAGGCCTCACACAAATCAAATGAGATTTGTGTGGCGCATATATACCTGGTGCCCCTTTGTATCAATGTTTATGTTTTTAAATAAATAATAAATCAATAAAAAAACTTATACTGAAAGAAAATGCAATCTATTCAACAAAAAAACGATCATACATACACATAAATTATTAAGATCAACAAATTATTTATTTTGCTTGGTATTCAAACGCGGCATCATTGATGAAATTGGCAAGATCAATATCTCGACGTGAAAGACCTCCTGCATCATGTGAAGTGAGTAGTATGTCCACCTATAAGTTTAAAAAATATACATATTTATGGTATATTAACTTGATATGTATAGTCAATAAAAAAGAATGATGTTGATATTGTACAGGGGTATGAAGTATGTTCACACTTTTCGATAGACAGATGGATATCCCACCTATAATACACAATTAGTGCAAGTTAGTAAAATTTTAACTTAATTTTTTCATTCATATAGAAATATTGTTAACTATTGACATACAGGGTTGATTGGATGTCCGGGATAGTGTAATCAGTCAAGACTTACAATTACATTACTTTTTATGGTTATATACAAATTCTTCATACATATCAGTCCAGATGGAGCATTTCGCATTGCCATTCAAGCCATTCATAACACTATTTTGTCAGTACCTTTACAAATTAGAAATACGTAATTTGTATAATCTATGTCAGTGACTATCTATTAAGGTTACCAATATTTAGAAAATATGACGGAGAATTACCTTTTAAAAGCACTTTTATGACAAATTTAGATTGAGGAAAGCAGGTAGGCATGGTCAACACAATTTCACACAGATTATTTAAATAACAGCCCCTTGCAAACTTTGGACAGATCAATAATGTTGGAATAAGAGTGTACATGAAAAGCTGTTTTCAGATTGATGACACAGTCAGACATGTATAAGTGTTTTTTTTGAAAATGAGCGAAAAGTAAATATTTGATTGGTACATAAACGATAAGGTTTGAAGTCTGTTCAGTCTTTCTAGGCTTGCTTTTTCAGAAATCTAGTTAAGTGATGAATGATTATGGGATTCAAGAGTTATTGATCAAATTAATTTTTCTGTGATCACCATTTTCTTGCAAATTAGAAGGACCAGCGATGAAAAGCAGACAGTTAGGGTTAAATCTAACACCACGACTGGATAGTATGTTAGCGCTAGTCTAGCTGAAATGACTAGATGATAATTCAGTGATTTTTAAAGATAACCGATTACGAATAATTCAGAATATCCAGTAAATAATACCTACTGGATATAAAACGATAACTTGAGAGTAAAATTCAATAAAGTCATAGAAACAAGGACTGTCGTCTTATAGTTAACAGTATAGAGCGATTTGTTTCTACGATACTGCAACAATCAAGAACGAGTATGGACGTAATAAATGATTATATATTAGGAAGTGTAAACCTTGAAGTGTTATTTTCGATAACTGCCAATTTCACAAAAGCATCGAAATTTATGAGTGACATGATTTGTGAAATTCTAGGAAAATCAAATATTTCACTTGGCATTGTTTGTTTGAATCTTCCCATTGATGTTTAGAACTGCAATTGATCAGTCTCTTATTGGCATATGTGCATATTGCCTCAATATAGCCTTAATTCACAAGCATTATAAGCAAAGATGGATAGTGGCTAGCAGCGGGATCCAGTTTGACGCGCGTTTCGTTCTGTTTGAGACTCGTTAACTGGATGTACCTGCATCTCAGAGTTGATGTTCACTCTGGCACTCGAACCCAGTACTTTTCGTTTCAAACGCCACCGCGTTATTCACTCAGCTACCGAGTCCTGAGTGAACATCCCAGAGTGAACATTAACTCTGAGGTGCATGTACATCCAGCTGACGAGTCCCAAATAGGACGAAATGCGCGTCTAAAAGCCTCGTCTACAACTGATGAATCACTAACTTCATATTGAATTCTAGACGACGATGGAATGCATCAGAATCATAACCGAAGATTATTTTGTAATCTGAACATAAATTTTGTATAATAAGTCATTTCATATCAACGTGACAAGCAATGGAATTATTTCAATACACTAATTTATATATAAATTATCGTTTGATTATCTTCTCATTCAAAGCATATATGCATCTCATATATGCAACTCAAAAGTGTCATATACAACAATAGCATGGAAGAAGTAACACATGATTTGTGAAAGAAAGACAAAATTAAACATCACTATTACTATGACGAAATTTTATGGTAGATTTATATTTAAGGTATTGTATAGATCCTTATGATAAGTCCTAATCAATCAAGAGACAAACAAATTGTTTCTAGGCATAGTTATATTAGGTGGGAGTAAATGACAATTAGTAACATAAACAATAATCTTTTTTAGAAAGTTTCAGATAAATATTTGGCTTCAAATAAAATACATTTTTAGAAAAAAAGGAGGGGGAAACGTTTCAGCAGATCTTTTGACTCAGATCAATAACTAAACACTAAAAAGAAAAAAATATCTGGTTACCTACTTATTTGATAGAAGTAGTGATTTAATGAGTATGAGAATCCCAATCCAACGATCTAAGTTTAAATCCTAGTTACACATTTTTTCTACTTCAGTTTGGGTAGCTAGGTTATCATAATGATTATACGCAACGTAGCCATTAAGAGTAGAAGATACTCTTTAGTTACTAGTATTTGACCACAGATGACTTAGAAATATTGCTCGCAGCTGCTGGGATCACCGAGTAAGTAATAGTGAGGTTAAACACAGGGCATTAGGGAATGATAATAAACCAGTTGATGAGGTTGTAAATATTTATTGACTGGGATAGTTGGGTCACGTATTACGTATGCCTGAACACCGATTACCACGACACTCAGTGTTGACTAGTATAGGGGAGGGTTGGAAGAGAGTTGGGGGCTGCCAAACCAAAACGTGGCATCAGTCCTTGAAGTCACTAACTTCTAGTCGGAGCCATATTGGTAGATGCAGACTACTTGGCTGGGATCCGCGTGACTATCGTAACCAATGGTTGGAGACTGTGTGACAAGTTTATTTTATTTTATCTAAACACATAAATATTGGTACAAAAAGCACCAGATAAATATGCGCCACACAAATCTCATTTGATTTGTGTGAGGCCTGGGATACTGCCCAGGTGCCCAGACTGAAGCAGGTGGTTTTCTTAGGGGGCCACACTCCGAGCCTTTGACCTAGAGGCCTGATCCACAAGGCAGTGGAGCATCGTGAGGAGATGCAGTCCCATGGTAGCCGGTCACCAACGATTGATTCATACACCATTTGTTCCCTCAGGATACTGGAGCCCATGTGCACGATTGGTTTGGAATAAGGGTTTTCCAACTCCCCTGTGTGGACTTTCCGTGTCCATCAACCCGGTTAAAGTGCCGAACATTCGCTTTTCGTCTTCTCAACTTCGTAAACAACACCCCTGCCACGAGTAGAACTTCCCTGGTAGAGGCTATATATTCGCGTGGCCATGTGAGAGCATTTGAAGAGGGAGAGTGGACTCTCCCCACTCTCGGCCGTACCAGGGCGTTTGGGGGCACGGCTCAGAATCGATCACAATAGAGTAGGTGTATACATCCTTGTCTGTCCTTAACCTGTGAGATTAAAGTTACTTTATACCTTTATTTCTACGAACTAATTCTTTTTTTCTGCATTATATCATTATATCCAATCTTTCTTTTATATATTTCTACCATTGAAGTAACTACTTCTATGAACTTGGTGTTGACCTTGTTGTGCTGATGAAGTGTGGCAAATCGGACCGATGTATATATGTGCCTGGTCCTACGTTGTAACTGGCTGACTGACATCTACTTATTATAAGTCAACAAGTGAGTCTCCAGTAAGAGATCAATTCCTCAAATGTCAGACGATGAGTGTTATTTCGAAAATAAAAATGAAAGGAGCATATGAACCTGACGAACACTATTTAAAGTTATCGATTTTAATGATAGCTTGCCATACGCTTTAACTCAACCAGTGTTGGAGTGGAGGGCCTGTACAACGTTATTTTACTTCCTTGGTACGCCTTTTGATGACGGTTACGAAATCTATCGATCTACGGAATCAAACTCTGCCTCAAGGTTAACAAAAACAACTATGGTTTGGAGACGGTAGGTATGTTTGTGTCTTAGTATCTGAGGTAGGACAATTACACTGATACTGAAGAATTTTCGGAAAAACGGACATGAAACCGGATTCCTGAATCGACAGACAAATTTATTGGCAGGACATTACTAGTATAAATAGAGGTCTCAACGATACAGTATATGTCGATCTGTACCAAAGTGTGAGCGGTAAATGTGGCTTCAGAAAGACGGTATCAGGTTCCGTATCCGGTGAGTGTTTTAAAAATGAGATTTTGGAAACCTGGAATCATTTAGACAGGAGAGAATTATTAACAGAGACGAGCTCATGAGTTGGAGGATAAAAATGTATGCAAAAATGGGGTAGAAAGTTAAAGCAGAATAAAAAAGCTCATTTACAGTAGTCATTGGGAGTTTTGTTTTGGAAGGTAGGTAGGTGAGGCAAATAGAGTACTTTCTTTATAACTGTTTATTAACACATTGCTAGGACATTGTCTGAATGAGTAGTTAGGACACTTGTCTTCCAAATAATAAGTTGTGGTTTCAAACCTGCCTACATCTATTTTTACTTCGACAACCTGGAATTATCACTAGCCTTTATAGTGCACAAATATGTACTTGATAAGTTACATGACTTTCAGATTTATAAACGATAGGCAAAACGCAAGAAGCATGTAGATGTGATTTTAGAACCATGATAAAACTGTTCTTCAAGGCGTTCAACAGAAAAATATATACCACACTAGGTAAGAAACAGTAGCTAAATGTGACAAACAATTTAAAGTTGGAGTGCTCAGATCTTGAGAAAAATTGAAGTTCCCTGAAAATTCTTTTGATAAATGTAGGGAAACATGATATTACGACGGAGCAGATCATACCAATGATATTTAGACAAACTCGATTGATTAAAATTTGGATAAAGTAGTTCGTTCCGTCACATTAATTTATGACAAGATAGCAAATTTAGTCTTGATCTCTAAAATGGTGAATCAAACTTTGTTCTACCAATATTCTTTCGGTTGAACTTACTGAGATTATGATAAATGTTTAGAATAAACCATAGGTGACTAAAATTTGCATTCAGCAGCACACTGTCATGATATTTATATCAAGTGCTACCATACTGTGATTGAAGCAATCTTACATGGTTTTATGCAGCCACTCCACATTACGTGGTGTCACACGAGAATAATGGGTGTTACACAATACCGAGTCGATAGAAACAAAACAGTTAGTTAGGGCATCTTCATTATAATCTGACACCAGCCCTAGCACGCAGACTCTAAGCAGCCAAACGTACAAATCCTGGGAGCCTATCTGAAATTTGATCGGTTTTTCACAATAGTTTAGTTCCACTGAAAAATCTAAATCTTATAAATGTTGCAAGCTTTGATGAATTGCAGACCATACCATATAAACTACCGTAGGCCACTGTATATAGACTCACCACAGTGAAGTTGTTACTTAACATGACACATATTTTTTAAAAGTGCAATTTACATTAGAGAATCTACTGATACTGACAAATGACATACCTTATTATACACATTAAACCATTCAGGATGGTGATTCATAACTTTGGATTTTTCTGCTATCTTCTTCATGAAGTCAAATGCTACATCAAAGTCTTTAAACAGAAAAGAGCGTCGTATGGCCTCTCTAGAACTATGTTGGCACAGCTCCCAATGGTGGATGTTTAGTAAAGGAGGAAGCATCTGTTCACGTTCTGGTCCCGTAAGGAGTGGCATTTTGCGTTTCTATTTTAATTTAAGTATGAGAAAAGTCAGATATACTCTAGAGGGGCTGAGCACCGTAGCGTTACGGGAATGTATGACATTAGTTATAGTACCGCAATACTTCAGTAAGGTCGCCATAGTCAAATTGTTCAAACGGTTCAGGACAGAATAGAAGAAGCGTTCGCCTAATGTACTCTTGTATCTAATGGCAGTGGATCACCAATACCTCCAGGCAAGAACCTAGGTATATTAACGATGATAGAGGAAAAAAGAAATTGATAAATCATAATAAGATGTTATCCTTAGTCAGTTTCAGTTTTCAGTTTCAGTTTGGAAAGGACAGGAGGCTTGATGGCCTGTGTTAGTCCTGGCAATGATGGTCTCTCAGCTGATCCAACTTTCTTTTGAAGGAGTCGACGGGTGGAGCCTCAACCACGTGCTGAGGTAATGAATTCCACTCGTTGATTATTCGATGGGAAAGTCGGTAGTCAGCTGACAAATAGTTCGTTCGGGGCTTGTGAACGTTTTTGGAGTGTCCTCGTAGATTTTCTGTTTTGAAAGACAAGAAAAATGAAGGCATATCAGGTGCAAATTTGTCATTAAGCAATTTGAAAACTGTAATCAAGTCGCCTCTGATTCTTCTATATGACAGCGGGAATAGGTTTAGCTTGGTCAGTCTAGTACCATACGGGAGCTTCGCTATTCCGGGAATCAGCCTAGTTGCTGTTCTCTGAACCCTTTCCAATAGTTCACTGTCTTTTTTAGGCAGGGGTTAGCTGCTTGTATACAGTACTCAAGTTTAGGGCGTACGAACACTGTATACAAAGTCAGAAACGTTTTATTGTCAAGATGCCTAAAAGCCCTGCGCATGGACCATAAAGTCCTAAAACCTTTGGCGGCTATTGCACGGCAGTGTGCATTAGTCTTTAAGTCTTGACTGTCGATGACGCCTAAGTCATTGTGTGTCTGAACAATAGGTAACTCAGTGTTATTCATCGTGTATGTATCTGTACCCTGGTGGCCAATATGCATCACAATACACTTGGAAGTGTTTATCGGCAATTGCCAGGTTTGGGACCATTCAGATAATCTCTCAAGGTCATTTTGAAGTTCTAAGCTATCGCCCTTGCTTTGTATCGCTCTCCATATCTTGACATCATCAGCATAGAGGAAGACCGATGACGAGAGGAGGAATAACACTGGCCCCGAAACTGTACCCTGGGGGACTCCACTAATCACAATTTCCCAGCTAGACAACTTGGAGTTCACCCTTACTCTTTGTTGACGCCCAACTAGGAAGTCTTTTATCCACATCAATAGATTGCCTCCAATCCCGACATTCCTTAGCTTATATAACAGCCGGTTATGCGGAACTTTGTCGAAAGCTTTGCTGAAATCGATGTAATCTACGTCTATAGGTAATTTTGGTCCTTAAGAGCGCACCAGCTTTCACGAGCGATCAATAAGTTTGTGAGACAAGAGTAACCTGTTCTAAAACCATGCTGCTTTTCGGAGAGGATCCGGTTTTCATCGAGATAATTTAACAGCTCCTTCCGAATAATCTTTTCTAAGATTTTAACAACCACACTGGTTAGGCTAATTGGTCGGTAATTCTCAGGCTTATGTTTTGTACCTGTTTTAAAGACTGGACTGACTATGGCGTCCTTCCAGTCTTTTGGTAGACGACCCTGGGTTACGGATAGATTAAAACATACACTTAAAGGGTTCGCAACAAAGTTAGCTAATTCCTTTAGTAACCTAGGATGCAGTTCATCGGGTCCAGTGGATTTACCTATGTCAAGCTTAACTAGCAGACCAAAGACATCGAGTTCTTTAATGGTTACGCTGTCCAGTGCTTGTGTGAGGGGATTTTCATGGACTGGTGAGAAGGGTGTTTCTATGGTGTACACATCGCTAAAGTATTTAGAGAATACTTTAGCTTTTCCAAAGTCGTCCTCCACTAGTGATGTGGCAGTACTGTCTCCCCATAATGAAGGAACATTTCTTCTTCTTTTTGTCCTTTGGTTTATATACGAATACAAGCGTTTAGGGCATTCTATGGATTCCCTAATGATTTTCTCTTCGTACAGCTTTCTGGCCTTACGGAGGGTCGAGGCACAGGTATTTCGAGCCTTTTGATACTGAGATTTTGCCTCGTCAGTCCCCAGTAACCTAAATCTATCTCACATTTTCCTTCTTTTACGGAGAAGGATGCGAACCTCCCTACTGAACCACAGTGGGGAGTTTCTCGGTCTCGTAGGTGTAGTCCAAGGAATGTGGGGTGGTAACTTTTAAGTATAAATTCCGGAATACGTCCCAAGCCGTTTCGATTGATGAATCTGGGTCTATTTTCCAATCTACTAATGATGCTGATTTCACGATGTCTGGTATGTTTGCTTTCCAGACGTTAGGTCTGGATTGAGCTGAAGCGTACTCGTGATCGACAGTTATACGGAAGTCAAAGCTTAAAACTGCATGATCACTTTTGCCTAGGGGTTGCATGTAATCCAGGTTTGCAACATCATCCTCATAATGAGTCAATATAAGATCTAGTAGGGATGATGCAGAACCCGGGTCGTACCTAATTGCTTCCTTCACGTGTTGCACTAGGGCACATGGGATTACCGCATCAACTAGTTCCCGTCTATAGTCGGCGTCAGCCATGTTTCTGTGACTGCGATTATGTCTGGCCTAGTTGAGTCAATCTGTACACCTAGTTCCGGTAGCTTATTTCGTAAGCTCCGGGCGTTGGTATAACAGATCCGAAGCCTATTTAGGTGGCCTCGTGCTTCACCCAGAGTGGCTTCGGCATCATCCTCTGTCGAAGCCTCACAACCCGAAAATTTACAATTTTCAGGTCTTTTACGCCAGCGTCTAATCTGAGCTGTAGTTCCTTTTCGGCTTCCCGTCTTTTAACACGGTCCGCCAACGGTAAGTCCTTACGGAGAAAAACTCCTGAACCCTTTAATTTGTGTCCATTTTCTAAGATTAAGTCGCGTTCGTTTGGGGATTTGAAAACGACTTTGAGTAGTCTAGACTGATTTGGTTTCAGATGCGCTAGATTTCATAGTCTATACACCTTTAGCAAGGTGACTCCGGAGATGTTTTTGGGCATAACTTGGTTGAGTAGTTGTTTTATCAACACAATGTCATGCTCAAAACGAGCTTTCGATTTTAAGCTGTCACTCTCCTTGACTCTATGGAGAATGACTGATCTGTAGCTGTGATCAGACCTCTGCTTGTCGACCCTTTTGGTGGGGGGTATGATTTCCTTTTACGTCATTTTGGCGTTTTTTCTTGCGGCCCGTACCCAATCTCCAACGTTCTTTGGAGTGGTAACCACAGTCGCGTCAGGCGTACTGTGGGATTCCGGAAGGTTCAGGACGACTTGGGAGATTGGGTCATCTTTCGCGCTGGAAACCGATCGAGCCTTGCGGTTTCGGCTTCTGGAAGTTCCCTTCTGGGTACCATTTTTGATACGAAGGACAGAAGAGACTTTTTTGCGCGAGTTTCTGGTTGTGACAGACCTATTTGGAGGATGTTCTTCTTCCTTAGTAGAGTGTGGGTCGGCATTTTTCGGACTCACTTGGGCCTGTCTTGTGTCAATCTGCGTGTCGACAGATCGAGTTCTGACTGATGTATCCCGACCGCGCTTGCCGAGACACTTTTTTGCGGCATTTACTATTGAGATGGCCTCGGTTAACAGGCTATTTGCATCCAAACAGCACTGTTGACATAGCCATACGAACCCATTTTTACTAACCCGCTTGAAAGCTGCAAGTGTTAGATTCGTGCAAACATCGTGGTACCAACATTTGCACTCATCGTACTGCATGCCGCTATCAACAGGTTATCGACATCCTGGTTAGCGTTTTTTTAGTGAGTTGATTTTCTACGGGATGGGATCGCTAACCCCATGCCCAACCCTCCTCCTTTACCCGGGCTTGGGACCGGCTGTAACCCCCAGAGGAGCTACAGGCGGAGTTTATCGACATCCTGGGCGTGGCAAATGCTTTTGTTGCATCTTCCAGTCATTTTAGGATGCGAAAGTGAGTGTTGACTACAAGTAAAAAAAACTATAAATAGTTAGGACCAAAGTACTAACAGGCACAATAGAAAAACAAAGGTACTCTGGAGTACCGACGATAAAACTATTTAGGATACCAAAAATGATACTCTAATAGAATACTTTAACTGAAAGAAATTCAATCAAAGTATAAAAACAGTGGTCTTGATACGTTAATAACGATCAAAATAATAGAATTTACTCAACGAGTAAAAATAACACTGTCCTTTTTAAATAGCGCGTTAGTCGAAAAGAATAGGTCAAGTTTCCTCTTAATGAACTCCTGGGAAGTCGCTTGGACTAGCTCGGTCGGCAGCGAACTCCAGCGTTTGACAACTCTTACGGATTAGAAGTTGTGTCTACAGTCTGTTCTTCTATGTTGGGTCTCCAGTTTCTGGGTGTTACCCCTTAGGTTAGTAATGTGACTGAACTTAAGTAGGTGTTTAGGGGGATGACCAGAAGTGTTAAGGATACTGTAAGTCATAAGAAGGTCACCTCTCAGACGTCTGTACTCTAACGGGTAAAGGTTAAGTAATTGGAGGTGCTCTTCATAAGGTTTGAATTTGAGTCACCAAACTGATTTCATGGCTCGGTGTTGGAAACATTCAAGAGTGTCCTTATCATTTTGGAGAGAGAGAGGAAATACTGTGTTTCCGTACTCCAAGTGGAGACGAATAAAACCGTTGAAGATTATGTGGAAAGTTCTTCCGTCAATCTGGCCTAAAATGCGCTTCAATGTTACCAGTGCAAGGTTTGCTCGACAGGTGTTTTGTCACAGTTGGCGTTGAAGATACGACTGGTATTGTAGTTTGGCAACTAGCAACCAGTAACACCTTCTATATTCGAAGAGTTCCCCAACCAGTTGAAATCAGAAGTCAGATGCGAAGAGATCGGAAAGATATATTTGATACGTTATCAATATATCGAGAAGCGTTTACTCTAATCTGGTTAGTGAACGTAGGAGCTGTGTCCCACGCCGGGTCGTAACGTGATCTGGTACGGATGCATGACCGAAAGCCTTCAGTTAAACAAGTCCACTTGAGACAATGTGGTCAGCATCCGATGTCGAACA